TTAAAAGACATTTTTGCTGAAATAACATTGCTTTGCAACGTTATGTAAGTTTCCTGTATGCATCATTATAAATCGACCTGTTTGGAATTGGGCCATCTTGTCCTGGTTTAAAGCCTTCTTGCCATGTTCTGCAGACAAACCCTTGATCAGATACGCATTTGCAAATGCTTGCTCTTGGCTTGTATTTTTTCTCCTCTTTTTCAATAGTAACTTTGAAGGGCAGAACCTGTTAAATAGTCATGAAGTTCCAGGGCTGGTGAGATAGTACAGTGGGTAGGGTGCTTGCCTTGCACAAATCCCACCCGGGTTGGATCCCTGGCACCTCATAACATCCCCTGAGCCCTGTCAGAAGTGATCCTGAGTAAGATCCAGGAATAAGCCCTGAGTACTGGAGAGTGTGCCCCAGAGCCCAAAAACTAATGATGTTAAAGTTAAGAGTGTGTGTGTGTGTGTGTGTGTGTGTGTGTGTGTGTGTGTGCGTGTTTTGTGCTCTGGCTGTTGGACCCAGGAAGGCTTTACCTAGTTAGAGATGACGAAGACATCCCGTTTTTTTAGACCTTTGTTCTTTCATATTTAACACAAACATTCAGGGTTCATCTTCGTGACCTTTTCCATAAGGGGTGAGATACTAAAGCAGGATTGTTTTTGTCTTTGCATGTGGATCCCCAGCACTAGTTTGGACACGACTCTCCTCTCCATTGAACTGCCTTTGCAGTTGTGTAATATTTAATCAGCCACTTGCAGTCATTCGGCAGGTAAGAGGATAGATGCTGGCGGGTTGGAGGAATAGTCAGTGGTTAACTAAGGCGTTTCTCTGCCTGCAGCTGAACCTGGTTTGATCCCGGGCTCTGTATATGTTCCCCAAGCATTACTGGGTGCGGTCCCCACCTCCCCAGAAGGGGAGACATTTAGAGGTGCTGCTGTCCTAATGGGACGAGATCACCAGGCAGTCTGCAGGGCCCTGGGCAGTGCATTCATAGTCCTGGGACCCCATCGCTCGCGTGGTGCTCTGGGAACCCAGCCTCCACCACCCGATGTTTAGAGTCTTGGACATGGCTGCCCCTCCATGTGCTTAGTCTGGACTGGAAAATAAATCTGCTCTGAGAACATCTCCTTGTTTCTCCTGATTGCACAGTGCTCCCCAGTGCCAATCCCTCATGCACATCCATTCCCCTGAAGATGAACAATTAGGCTACCAACTTCTGTTGCACAAACAACCGGGCCACAAGCAGCCTTGAGCACGTCCTTGGGGGCACCCATGGGAGATTTTCCAGAACGCATCTCCAGAGAGCGCCAGGCCACACTGGTGTCCCTCCACTCACCCCCGCCTACTGTCCCCCTATTTCTGAGCCTCTTCTGAGAGGGTGCACTGATCTCCCTTGCATTGGGGGGGTGAGGGTTAGCTGACTTGAGGTTTCTTCCTGTGCTCCCCTGGCACCTGGCACCCTTGCCTCCTGGCGGACAGGAGCTATTTGGAGATGGCAGAATGTCTGCCTGCTGCGTCCCATGCTGGGCAGTTTTGCATCCTTCTTCTGGCGGTGCTGCTTCTCTGTGGTGGGCAGAGTGAGAACTCCAGGCAGCAGGAACAGTGTGTGCACTGAGAGGTTGGTGTGAGTCCTGAGGATAAGATCCGGCTGGCACTGGGCATCATTACTCACCAACCCCACCTGCAGAGACACAGGACCTGTCTGAAGCTGCTTCCTGGATGGGGGGGCGGGGCAGAGCCCCCCACCGTCCTGTCCCTGAGTCCCAGCAGAGATGTGTCTGCTGTCTGGGCCACAGTGCTCCACTCCAGAAAGCCAGATCTTGCTTGAGACGAACCCGATACCTGCTCGAAGTTGGAAACCCCTTTTTCTGCTCCCCTCACTGGCTTCTCTGTTTATTCAGGAGAGCTGGTCAAGGCCCTGCAGTCTCTGTCTGGCTGGCTGTAAGCTCTTCTTTCAGAACTGGCCATGACTCCTCACCAAAGAGGTGATGGAGACCAGCAGAAACGGCCTGGGGAACTCCCAATAGTGCTTGGGGGGCACAGGCCCACTCCCAGTGAGGCTTGGCCATGCAGGCTGGACAGTTTGGTGCTCAGGTCCAGCAGCGATCTGCTCACTCATCAGGGCGCCCTTTGGTAGCAGAGATCAAACTGGTCCCTGAGCACGCAGCTCGCATCCCACAGTGTGAATGCTCTTCCCCAATACCTTGGGATTTTAGGTCTGGCAGAAAACGGGGTCCGTATTTGGGCCTGTGCGAGCATATCTGTCGAGCATATCGGTTCCCAATTGTGCCATCTCGGGGCCACTGTGTCAGTGACCATAGCATGTACATCCCATTGTCACTGACAAGGGCTCACAAAGGCCTTTCCACGCCTCTGCCAATGCCTGGAGCCCCCTCTTCTTCTTTCACTGTATTATCCAATCTTTGTTTTTCTGTGTAAATTTTGGAGTCCGTATGTAAGAATTTATAAACATATCTTGGTTGTCTTTTCTTTGTTTTGGGGCCACACCATGGTGGTGTACAGAGCCTACTCCTGGTTCTGGGCTCAGGATCACTCCTGGTGGTACTCCAGGGAACCATACGTGGTGTTGGGGACCAAACCAAGAGCCCTCCCTGCTGTACAGTCTCTTCGGATTTTAAAGGGGATCCCTTTTGTAACACAAGAGGGTTGGGGGAGACAACATAGTTCTAAGAAGAAACCCATTCTTTCCCTGACCTCAGTCGGGAGGTCTCCACAGTAGACCGTAAGGGTTCATAATTTCCTCTTAGGACCTCTGCTAATCCATCAGGCTACTTTAGGCTCAGGCTCTTCCATTCTACAGCTGCCTTGTCTCGGGTCCTTGAGGCCACTGCTGAGCTCGGGAGCCCGTGTGGACGGTTCCCGCTGGCCTCCAGCCCCTTTCACCTTCTCCGCTCCCTGAAACGAAGCACCAGACCAATGAGGGGCAGAGGCCGGCCGCGCTCCCCATCCCTACACAGGTTATGGTTTGGCTATGTCTCTGCTGAAGGCTTCATCTTCTGCCAAGGAAGGCCTTAGCTCCCCAGACACTAGTGGCCCTGCTGTAGGCCTCTGAGTTACGGAGGAAATGAGTAGAAGGTTCCAGAAAAAGGAAGGAGGGGCCAGTTGTCTGATAGCGCATATTGTAGACCCTTATAAGGACATATACAATCTGATTGGTCATCCTACAAACCTTATTTGCATATGGCATGAGCTCATTGTGCTGCTCCTTATAAGGGCATGTGTGATCTGATTGGCTGTCCCACAATCACCTTATCTGCATGAACAATTGATTGGTTATTCCAATCGGATGCCCTCATAGGGAAAAACCAATCAGATAGCACAAGCAACTAAGGGGCGGGGATTATGAAATGTATATAAACTCTGGTCACTGCACCCCGAGGTAGTTTGGAAGGAAAGAGAGAAGGGGTGAGCGGTTAGTTATGACTTCCAGTGGTTCCTGTATTGCTATTACAGGCCATCCACGAGAGCGCAGAGCTGACTGGTATTCGCTGGACTTGTCCAAGGGTAGGCTATTTGCGGCTTCCCGAGGCTCATGTTACCTGGAACTTCTCATCTTGCTCAATTCTGCTCATCCTTCATGAGCATTTCACTTACGAAAATCCTTTCAAAGATCAGAACGCGCCCTTTGTCTCTTGCTGGGAAAGAAAATGCCCCGGAAGCGGTCCCAGGAACACACTCTGAGAATAGAGACTCTGTGCTGGTGTTGGTGTGTTTGATGAACAGGAGACTAAAGTCCTTGCAGGGGAAACTCAGCACTGGTACTCTGGCATCCTGGCTTGTGAAATGATTGCAGGGGATAGCAGGGACTCGATGACACAGGACTGAGACTGTTGTTATGACCACATGGTGACCAAAACTGCGGTGGGTTAGACATGTGCTGGCCCTGCCTAGAAGCCACGAAGGAAAAGGTCCCTTGGGTGTTGGTGGTTTCCGGGCAGAGCCCTGTGACAACCCTCAGCTCCCAGCTGGAATGTATGCTTACTGCAGGAGTACACGCGTGGCTGTGCAGGCTGACCTACCCAGCAGGCCAGGCAAGACAACTCCGTATATAGGCTTCTATGAGTGCTTGTGGGGACCGTGGAGGAAGCAGGGTTCAGCTGTGGAGGCAGCCACCAGGAAACAGGAGCTTTTTTGGGGGCGTCATGCTCTGAGGTGCTCAGGGATCACTCCTGGTGGGGCTCAGGGGACCATTTGTGGTGCTGGGGATTGAGCCAGTGTTGGCCGCGTGTGCCCTACCTACTGTACTATCTTTCCAGCCCCAAGAGGCGTGTTTATGCAGGAGGAACGCAGCGATAGGCCACCGTTCCCGTGCAGCCGCCGCGCAGCAGCCAGGTGGGATGAATGCCATTGGGTGGCGCTGGCGGGGGCCGCGTGCTCTCAAACTGGCTAGCCTGACAGTGGCGGTCGCCTTCCTCCTTGGAAAAGTGAGCGGGCTGCTCAGACACCACAAACAATTCTTGCTCTGCGCTGTTCGGGGCAGCTCTGCCAGACAGCAGGGGGGCCGGGTATCCACGGAGGAGGAATGAGGAATGAAGGGTTCATTTGCAGGAAGATGGAGCATCGCTCGGTTTGGGGAGGCTGATAACTTCCCAGACAAACGACTGGTGCACCTCGCTGTGCCTCGGCAGTGCTAGCCAGATGGACTCTCCTCATCGAAACCTGGTGTGGACTCTTCCACTGGCAGCAGCTAAGCGCCGGTCATGGTACCCACACACGGACCCGACCGTGGGGCCAGCGTCCACGTCTGCCGCACTCTTCAGCCCGACCCACCGCGGGCGTCTACTCCGCCCCGCTCCTCCCGCCCGCAGCTACCCTGCCGCCCACCGGTCCGGCGCCCTACGGGGCGTGGCCTCAACGCGGGGCGGGATTTCAGGCTTAGCGGCCGACGGGCATGCGCAGGAAGGCACCAGGCGGGGCGCCATCTCGCGGGGCCGCGGGCTCGGGGAAGGGACTGCGCAGGCGCCCGCCGGAGCGTGCGTGCCGGAAGGGGCGGGGCCCGCGGGCGCCTGCGCGGAGAGCGGAGCCGGACGGGCGGGCCGTCAGCTGACTGTGGCGCGGCGCTTCCGCGGGCGCAACCGGTGGCGTCGCGACTCCCGGCGTCGGCTCCCCGGGGCGAGGCGCGGGCACGATGGCGACCACCGTCAGCACGCAGCGCGGGCCGGTGAGTTCTGGGCGCGACCGGGGAGGCGGCGGGAACGGCCCCCGAGGGAGGGGCTCGGCCAGGCGGGGCCCCGGGTGGCGCGGCCCCAGGGCTCCCGGTGGTCCCCGGACGGGGTCGCCTCACCCGCTCGGTCCCCGGATGGAGGCCGGCCCGGCGGCTGGCGCGTCGGAGGGGCCCGAGACCTGGGTTCGGTGGCGGGTGCGCGCGCGCCGCCGCCGAGCCCAGAGGGAGACGTCGGGTCCGGCTGTGCCCCTCCACCCCTCCCCTCGGCACTGCGCCCCCGCGACCCCTCCGCAGCCCCGCCCCGCCTCCTTTCCACCCCTCGGTCTTGCGGGCCTGCCCTCTGCTTCCCTCCCCTCGTCTCGTCTCCCCAGGCCCGCTTCAGGTCCGCGCCCCCCCCCAGTCTCTGCCCCTGCGTGGTGGCTGCGCGTGGGGGACCCCTCGCCACACTGCTGAGCCGACCAGGCCAGACTGGGCCTTGCTCTCTGTGTCCCCTGCTGCCCGGCCCAGGTAAGGCCGGGAGTGGCAGCCGAAATCCAGGCCAGCTAGGGCGTGTGCCCGGAGGTGCCCACGCAGGAGAGGGCGGCCAGCGCACCCACTGCGTCCCAGTGCTTGCCCTGCCGGGGGACTCTCCACCTCTCCTACTCCTGGGCCCGGGTCCGCGTGCTGGGGTGGATACATGGCCGTGGGGTCGGGGTGTGCAACCTGCAGCGCTGTGTGTGTTTGTGTGTTTGTGTGTCCTGCCCTGAGAGGCTCCCTGAGGTGGAACAGAGGGGAAATCTTTGCTGTTCGTCAGGAGTCTGGCAGCTACTGCGTGCCCCAATCTACATGGGACGGGTTGGCAGGTGGTGCCCTCTCTGCCCCATGCCTGCCAACCCGTGCGGAGTGAGGGTGCTCACACAGGCAGAGGCCACTGCCCTTATGCTGTGTTGCCGGGCTTGCAGGACACCCTGGGGTGGCACCACCCATGCCCTCTTCGGTCTGTTTCCTGCCCTCTGCTTTCCTGCTGAAGCTTCAGGGTGGGGTGGCGTTGACATCCAGCTCTATCAGCTGTGCTTGGCGCTGTGACTCTTGGCCTCCCTGGAGGTGACCAGGCCCTCAGTCTCCTGTTCTGTATGGTCCAGCCTGGGCCGGAGTAGGCAACTGCTTCTGGGGAACTCACAATTGGGGGACGTGCTGTAGGGGGTACTTATCTGCTCAGGCAGGAGTGTTCCTCTGTCTCTCCTTGGGCAGGGCTGGAGCAGCTGGGCTGGTCTCTGCCGTGTCACCATCCAGTGTCTGGGCCCTGTACTCAGCCAGCACTATGGCTCCTGGCTGCGTGTCTTCTCTCTCAGGCTGTGTATACCATTGTTCCTCCAACTTTTGTCCCCCTCGTCTGGAACACTCATTTGCCTCCTTGTCCTCTGCCCCTTGAGTTTTCCAGAAGTGTCCAAACACGGGGCTGGAGTGATAGTACAGCGGGTAGGGCATTTGCCTTGCACACGGCCGACATGGATTTGATTCCAGCATCCCGTATGGTCCCCTGAGCACTGCCCGGAGTAATTCCTGACTGCATGAACCAGGAGTAACCCCTCTGCATTGCCGTGTGTGACCCAGAAAGCAAAAAAAAAAAGTGTTCCGACACCTGCTCAGGGTCCAGGCAGGCACTCCTTTCCTCCCCCCAACGCCCGGGACCTGCCTGGCTTTGACCACAGCTGCCGGGTCCCATACACCATGGCGTTGGCCTTCGATGGGTCCCGCTCTGCTGAGAAGGTGATCTGCCCCCGCAGCTCTTGATACTTTTGATCTGTTCTGCTCTTGGGAAAGGCCTGGGAGATGATAGTGTTGGGGACACAGGAGTTGTGCCCCACCCCTGGGGCAGCTGGACTGTTCGAGCCCTTGTCCTTGCTGATTGTGTCTCCTGCCCACACACCTCGTCCGTTAGGGGAGTTTGGTGGGAGGAGGGGCCAGGACCTCTCTGACCCCTGGGCAGAGGCACAGGTACGGCAGCAGCAGGGGGGCTGGACCCGCAGGGCACCCTTTGACCTACCTCTTTGGTTCTGAGGTCCTTCCCAGCAGCAGGCACTTTGTAGGATCCTCCTAGCACTGCAGAATGTTCTAGTCTTGTCTAGTTTCCGCACCGTTTGCCTCGAGGCTCAGGCACAAACCAGTGCCCTCTGGCCTGCCGAAGCATGGCCTCCAGAGCAGGCTGGGAACCTGGACTATGTAGCCTTTGGTGCCCACACCGGGCACCTCCTGCAACGAGGCCTCTGCAAAGCTAGCTTGGAGGGTCCACTGCAGCCCACACCTGTCCCTTCACCTGGCCTCCCCTGCTATCGTGCCCAGTGCTCTTGGCATTCTGCCCTCCCTGCGCTTGCTGTCCTGTCCAGGCCTATCCCAGACCCTTGACCTATTGTGGGCTTGTCATGCCTTGGACAGCCTCCCTGATGACCTCCCTCTACTCCCAGTGTGCCTCCCTCCACCCCTTGTCTTAGACTCATTCTCACAGCTGCTTCCTCCTGTTTCTGAGAATGGTGGGTGAGGCACATCCCTGAGTGTTTGGGGGTGCAAGTCTCCCCACAATTTCATGCTAGGGAGGGTGTCGAGGTGACCACAAGAGTAGCTGAGATTGGACCTGCTGGGGGCTACCTGGGGTGCCAGCACTCTACTGGAAACTGGCCTGTGGTCCCAGGGAGGATGGAGGAGACTGATGGGCTTGCTCTGCCTGCCTCTCACCCCGGCCTGCAGGTACAGACGGGCTCTCCCGGCTGCTCGACCCCACCTGTGCCACCCCTGAATTTGGCTGTCAGTCTCCTGCTTCCATCTGTCTGCACATGCCGCTGTATTCTGGGCTGGTGGATCGCCATACGGGGCCTGTGCCAGGGTACTATGGGACACCCTCTGACCCATGAGCAGAGCCCAGCTCAGTAAACGTGGGGCTCTGAGCTGAGTCTCTTGCCAGTCCTGAGTCTGAGCGCGCGCGTGTGTGTGAGACGCCGCCCTCCAGCAGGATGCCTCCACCTACATGGCGCTGAGACTACCTCTCAGACCTTCTTTTTGGGGCACCTGTACCTCTTTGAGACCTGGGGACTAGGGGATGTGAGGTGCCTTACTCTATGGGAAGAAGGACCCAGGTACCTGTGGGAAGAAGGGTGTGGGGCTGTAGGATGCCCCTAGTTCTCTGTGGGGCTGTGGAATTCCCCTCATTCTGTGTCCCAGGGCACGGGCCTGTCCTCAAATGCTGATGCTCTGGTGCTCCCTAACAGCTGCTGAGGTCTGGGACAGGTTTCTCTGAGCTGCCTAGACACGCTGCCCTGCATCTAGGTTGTTGAAGCCTTGCAGCCTGTATATGTTTTCTTGATAGGAACTTCCCTAGGAGGTGCCCGAGCCTCCTGCCCGGGCTCTCTCCTGGTAGTGTTTTTCTGCATGCAGTGAGGCCGCGGGGGGGGGGGGGGGGGGACGGGAGAGGAGCCTGGTGGGGGCATCCATTGCGCTGGCTGCTCTGGCCACCAGCGTCTGCCATATGTTGACCCTGGCCTATGACTCAGTGGCTGACACCACCCCGCGGGAGGCCTGTACCAAGTGTGTGCGCCTGCCCAGGAGGCTCCTGCCTGGCAACCTAGGGCCCTCCCCTGGGGGCCACAGTGCCAGTCGTTTGGGCAGGAGAGGAATGAGCCCTAAGTGCAGCAGGTTGGAGAGTGGATAGGGCTGTGCCTCCCTAGGCAGTGCTCAGCTTGGACCATGTGTCCCTCCCCATGTCCCCAGCTCAGCACCCTGGTTTGGGAGTTGGGGCTAGGGAAAACCCAACCTTTCTGGGTTCAGTTGCCTTGGGAAGGGAGGCATTATTCCCTGGGTGCTAGGGAACAGAGGCCTCACAACCTTCTGGACCAAGGAATGTCTGCTTATGTGCAGTGTCCGTTCAGGGGGCAGAGCCTCGTACGCTGCCTTTGGTCTTGTCCACTATCCTGGTTCTGGTCACCAAGTAGGTCATTCTGGGGTGCTGGGCTTGGGGTGGGGGTTGCCGTGGTGTCTGCTGCTTCCCGAGGCCCCAGCTGGCCTACTGGGCTCTGCTGTTCTGCGACATTGTGTGCTCTGGGCACCTCCACGGAGCCTGGCCTGTTAGGTGTGTCTGAGCTCACATCTTGTCCTGTGTGGGCTTGGATGCTGTCCGTCCTGGGAGTGCTGGAGAACTGTGCAGTTGAGTGTGTGTCTTTGTCTGTGTGGGGCAAAGGAGGGGTAGGGCGTAGTGGCTGCCCTCACAGTGCCAGCCCCGGTCTTGCAGTGGGCAGTCATGATATCCGGGAAATAGACATATGGGCCTGTGGTCAGACTGTGGATCCCAAACGTGATGTGTTAAAATGCTGTAACCCGACCCTTGTTCATGGGCCTGAGACTGGTGGTGTGGTCACACGCCGGGAAACTGCAGGCTATGGTGAGGGCCAGGTGGACGCAGGGGTGGGATGGGGATGCACAGGCTCTACCCACTGATGTGTGTTGCTGGGGGCCCCAGGTGTACATTGGCGAGCTCCCACAGGACTTCCTGCGCATCGCACCCACACAGCAGCAGGAGCAGATCCGGCTGGATGCACAGGCAGCCCAGCAGCTTCAGTTTGGGGGCGCCGTGGGCACCGTGGGCCGGCTCAGCATCACTGTGGTACAGGTGAGTGCCCTGCTTCTTGGTGCTGCAGAGAGGCTGACATGGCCAAGGGGCATGAAGCCAGCATTGGTGCTGAAGGACTCCCCCCCCACCCCCAAGTTCTCATGGTGGTTCCTGAGGCCAGGACAGATCCCCATGTGGCCGGTGTGTACTGACAAACAACTCGAGAAGTGTGGCGGAGAGTCCTCCAGAATCCGGTGATGCCCCAGAGACACCCATTCTCTTCTGGGTGTCCCTGGGCGATGGCCAGTGGTTGTGACTAAAGGCAGCCCCTGCTAGGGGTGTCACAGTAGGTCACCTGTGTGCAGACGGGACAGGAGGAGAGGACGGTGGAGACATACTGAGTGAAGGCCGATAGCAGCCCAGCAGGCCTGGAGGGAGCAGGGCAAGCAGAGCGTCAGGGCAGGTGGGGAGTAAGGAAGAACCTCCACGTGCTTGGGGTTCACAGTGCTCTGAGCAGAAGTGACAGGCATGTCTCCTGACACCCCTGCTCTGAAGTTCAGGCAAGCCCAAGTGCTGGTCTCCAGAGTTGTCCGCACCGACAGTAGCAGGAGGGGCAGTGCTGCCGTGCCAAAGACACAGATGACCCAAGATAGCCCTGGGCTGGGATTGAGAGCAGCTGCCCACCCCTGTCCTGGCCTCTCAGGAGCCTGTGAGGGGACAACCGGCCATCCAGCGCCTGCTATCCAGGGCAGTCTTGCTCTTTGTACCTTGTGGGCAGGGCAGGGGGGTATCGAGCTGTCACTGTACGGAATCTGGCACTGACCTTGCTACAGGCTAAATTGGCGAAGAATTATGGCATGACCCGCATGGACCCGTACTGCCGCCTGCGCCTGGGCTATGCTGTGTATGAGACACCCACAGCTCACAACGGGGCCAGGAACCCGCGCTGGAACAAGGTCATCCAGTGCACGGTGCCCCCGGGCGTGGACTCCTTCTACCTAGAAGTCTTCGATGAGGTGAGGTGCGGGCTCACCACGGTGGCTTCTGGGTCCCTGTCTTCCGGGCAGGCGTTCCCTGCAGGTCTCTCAGCTAGGCCCTGGAGGCACTGTGTAGTGAAGACCCTCAGGCCATGCAGACAGGTGACATGACATCACCAGAGACAGCCACATCACTGATACATCAGTGCTGTGTGGGCGGGACACATGGAGCGGTCTGGTCAGTAGTGGCAGCATGTTGGAGTCCCTTAGGAACGCTGCAGCCTGTGGTGGTATTTGCTCACTTGTGTGCCTATGCGTGTGTTCCAAAGTCTGTGCTCCCTGGGCCTGCCTCACGGAGGATGTGGGCCCGTAGGGTCCAGAGGAGCCTCAGCCAGGCAGCAGGCAGCATCTGCAGGGACTTTGGGACTGAGAGGCGGTGGGGGTGTGTGTGTGGTCACGCCTCCTTCCTGTTGCTTCCCAGCGAGCCTTCTCCATGGACGATCGCATCGCCTGGACGCACATCACCATCCCTGAGAGCCTGAAGCAGGGCAAAGTGGAGGATGAGTGGTATAGCCTGAGCGGGCGGCAGGGTGACGACAAGGAGGGCATGATCAACCTGGTCATGTCCTACACGGTGAGCCCTGCTCTGCTCTGCCCAGCCTTTCGGGCTCCCTTGACCTCCTCCTCTTCCACCTCCCCCACCTCTGTCCTGCTCTCTCTGGCGTTCCCCTCTGCCCTACCTCTTCCTTCTCTTCTTCCCTTTGCTGTTGGAGGCCCCATGGTAGAGGTACCTTCCTGGCAGTTGGCTCTGGTCTGCAGAAAGGTATCCTCCTCCCTGGCCCCTGGTTCTCAGCAGGCTCCTGCCTTGGTGGTGGTGGTGGTGGGGTGGTCCCTGAGTCCAGCTGTTGGGCACTTGTATGAAGTGTCAGAGCCTCACCAGCAGCCTCAGGCCCGGGCTTCTGAGAAGGGCTAAATGTGCTGGCGCTGGCTGTGTCCATGGCTCCCGAGGTGCCTCTGAAATGGAACCCGTCCCTCTGTCTTGCAGCAGGGTGGGGTGGAGACCTGCTGAGTCTGAGCGTCCGTCCCAGATGGTGTTGAGGGATGGAGGAAGCGGGTCCAGTATGCCTTTGCCATGACCTGCTTCATCCTGTGTTTCAGTCACTGCCCGCTGCCATGATGATGCCACCGCAGCCTGTTGTGCTGATGCCCACCGTGTACCAGCAGGGCGTCGGCTACGTGCCCATCACAGGTGGGCCTCTTTGCTCTGGCGGGCAGGGTGATAGGGTTGCGGGGGTTGTTTCAGTGAATGCCTTTGTAGCACGGAATAGACTTTTCCATCCCTGATAGAGGGGAGGGTGGGAATCAGGGAGCTTAGGATCCGTATCTTCTTGCTTCTGTCCTGTGGATGAGGTAGATGTCCCATTATCCCCACTTGGCTCTCCTTACTGGCACATGCTGCCTGGCACAGATCCTGGACTATGGGAGCAGGGCACTGGCGTGCCAGCCTCCCACTTCTTGACCTGAGACTGGGCTCAAGGGCAGACACCTGTGAAGAGGAAGGGTCTGGGGTGCCAACGTGCCGGAGCGATGGTGGGGGACAGGGGCAGTGCCCGTGACTTGCCCCGAAACAGTAGAAACCCCCAGCCAGATGATCCTGTCCCAGCTGCTGCTTCTGCAGGCTTCAGCTTCCTGGCACCGTCGCCCTAGTCTCTTCCAAGAGTGCCGTCTGGGAGGGCCTCAGCTGCATACAGATCCTTCTTTTTTTGGGTCATACCCGACGATGCACAGGGGTTACTCCTGGCTTTGTACTTAGGAGTTAGTCCTGGCAGTGCTCGGGGGACCATATGGGATGCTGGGAATCGAACCCAGGTCGCTGTGTAAAAGGCAAACGCCCTCCCCGCTGTACTATTGCTCCAGCCCTGCACAGATGCTTCTGGCGTGAGGCCCTACTGCCTTGGGGCTAGTCACCGAGCTGGAAAGTATCAGTGGAGACAGGGCTCATGGTTTGTGCTCCCACAGTCGCTCCTCTGCCTGCTGCCCGGGGTGTGCTTCGTGCCCTCAGCAAACCCCTGCTGAAGTCAGCCATACTGCACTGGAAGTTTTTCTTTTTCTTTTTTTGGCTGTATGGGGGGAACAAGGACATGCCCGCTAGTGCTCAGGGCTTACTCCTGGTGATGTTTGAGGAACCCTGTGAGGTGCAGGGGAGTGATCCTGGGTTGGCTGCATGCAATGCAAACACCCTATTTCTTATATTATCTCTGCAGCCCCAGAAGTATGGTTTGTGACCCTCAGTACTCCAGTACTGTTCTCCTTTGGATGAGGCCCAACCAGTGTAGTTACTTGTTAACACTGTCTGTTTCATGTGCCCGTGGCCGTCAGTATCTAGGCCAGCCCCTGTGCATAGCTGACTCGGCCTTGCTGCACTGGCCACATGGACGCCCTGCCCATGCCTGCTTGTGCCCGTCCCCCCGACCACATGCAGCCATGTGCTGCTCACTGGGCTTGAGGGGGAGCTGTGGGAGGCACCTCCCAGCCATGGGGTGAGGTCCCGTGACCTTCAGGCCCCGCCCTGAAGAGAGGGGCCATGTAGAGGACCCCAGCGCTGCTCGGGGCTGGCTGTGGGTTTGTTCGTTTGCACGAGGGTCTGGTCAGTGGGTACTACTGTCTGGAGGGTTTGTTGGGGGGTCGCCATCCTCTGAACACCTTGTGCTTCCGGCAGGGATGCCCGCTGTGTGTGGCCCTGGCATGGTGCCCATGGCCGTGCCCCCCACAGCCCTGAGTGCACAGCCCCGCTGCCAGGAGGAGGACCTGAAGGCCATCCAGGACATGTTCCCCAACATGGACCGGGAGGTGATCCGCTCCGTGCTGGAGGCGCAGAGAGGGAACAGAGACGCGGCCATCAACTCTCTGCTGCAGATGGGCGAAGACTCCTAGGACTGTGGCCCTTCCTGACTTGCCTGGCCCACCCGTGTCAGATGCATGTGGTTCCCATGCCTGCCAACTGCTCATGATGGGGCTGGAGCCCAACGGGCCATCCTCCCGGTATGCTGATGGCACGCAATCCTTTGCCATAATGGGGTTGTCCTACTAATCCAGGCACGTCCATTACCTTCTGTAGGGGTCATTCTGGAACCTTCCCACTGAAAATCTGCATCCTTCCCTGGGCATTCTTTGTGGGCTAGGCTCCTTGTTGCCTGCCCCAGCCAGAGGCGACCCTCTAAATGGCGGGTGAGGGCGCTGCTCTCTCCCTGTCGTTTTTGGGTCCCAGGGGCGCTTACGGCTCCTGCGTTCGTGTGGCACGGTCTAAGCTTGGGGTGTGAGTGTACCTGCAGGCTTCGCGTTCTAAAGGGTGATTAGAACTGTCCTCTCATGGCTGGGGTGATGGAATCTGTCCCGGGTGCTGGGTGTGGGTCCATGCCGTCATTTGCCTGTCTGTAGGGAGAGACTGTGCCTACCCCTGGACGTTCCTGTTGGCTCTACTCACGGGCAGGGGTGGGGTAGGGACGGGCTGGGAGATAATCCAGTGCCAGTGACAGGTCTGAGCCACTCCCCAAGCGATGCACTTTATAAACAAACAAGCCCACGTTGAAAACTCATGTGTCTGTGGTTCTGCAGTAGGCCAGGGTCCTTGCCCTTCTGAGTCGATGTCCGTCCAGACCTGGTGTGAACTCGAAGGGACACACAGCTGTTTTCCACGGCCTCTGGTGCTGGCTGGCTGCAGTGCGCCCAGGAGCGGAGGAAGGGAGAGGGGCCGGTGAGCGTTGCAGTTGCAGGCAAGTCCAGCAGCTCGAGTGAGGACCTGCTCCTGGAGCCCTGAGACTACAGTGGGGGGCACGGTCTGGTCGGCCAGTACACTCAGATCAGATCTGGTGGTGTGGCCACAGTGCCAGGCAGGTTCAGAGGCCGATGGAGGAGTGATTGGCAAGGGAAGGGGGCACTACTCTGTGCCCCACTGGTCAGCCTACCTGAGGTGGCCATTCAGGACCACCATGGGGTTGGGACTGTACTTCTCAGATGCCACGGGTTGCGGCCACGTGTTGGCATTTGTACACCTCCAAGCTTGCTCCCACCTGATAAGCAGCTGACCTGTACTCCCCATCAGCTTGGGCCCACCTGTGACTTTCTGGCAGGCACAACCCCTGTTTCAGGGCCTGGCACCTGTGCTCGTCCATGCCTGGCATCCCAGTCCTTGACTCACAGTTGCATTGATGGCCAATACTTTCTCCTGTCCTCATTTTCCCTCCTTGGCCCCTTTGTGAGCCGCCTAACAAGTGAGACCTTAGAAACAAGGAGTTTGGGAAGCCAAGAGAGCAATCAGGCATGATCAGGGACAGGCTCTGGTGCTTCTTCCTGTCCACCCCCACCTATGACAGAGCCAGCCAGCACCAGCCCAAACCAAAGCCCAGCCAAGTCTGGCCACGCAGCTGCCCTGGGAAAGGTGTGTGTCCAGCAGCCTGTCAGTCTCCAGGGCCCAGTGTTGGCAGGAGGGCCATGAAGAAGCGGGAGAGTCCGAGGGCAGAGCCCATAGGACACGGCCCTGGGGAAGGGGCAGCTGTGCACAGCCAGGGCCCATACGCATGTGCCTTCGAAGGCAGAAGCAGCCTGGAGAGCAGCAGGGTCAGGTGCACACAGAGGTTGGAGCAGTGACAGCTGCCCTCCCAGAGCACGTGATCTGAGGTGACATGAACCGAGCTCCAGGACAGCCCGACGTGAGCAGTGAAGCCTGAGTGGGAGAAGGTTCCTCACCAAAACGAGCTGGGAAGCAACAGGTGGGTAGTCTCACCCAACTCTGGCTCCCGGGAGCCTTGCACCCAGCGGAGCGTCCTTTGGGTGCACGGGAGGCTCCTGGAGCACCAGAGCTGGGGCAGCACAGAGGGGTGGCATGGCCCTGGCGAGATGCCAAGCCCCTAGGAGCATTCTGCAGTCAGAGGCTTGACAGTGTGTTGGAAAATTCACCTTTACGAAGGGCACTGCATGGGCAGCTGCTGCTGCTACATGACCCGCACGTGCCCGCGCACTCAGCCACAATCCACCAGGAGAGCGCACTTGTCCCCAGTGGAACCCTTACACGTAGTTGCGCCTGGTTTGCAGCAGGCTTTGCACTGTCCCCTGAGCGCTGCGGGTGTGGCCATAAGGAAGGAGAGGAGAGCGAATGTTGGTTGGCGAGGCTGTGAGGAGGCCCGCGCCCCAGCTAGCCCTTGCCACGGTGCAGATTGGCCCGCCCGAGAGCAGAATGCATTTCAACTGCATTCTTGTTTGTTTTGGGGTCACGGCCAGCGGTGCTCAGGTGTTCCTCCTGGTTCCGCACTCGGATCACTCCTGGTGGTACTCGGGGACCACATGGGATGTGGGGGATTGGACCTGGGTTGGCCATGTGCAAGACAAGCGCCCATGCCGCTGTACTATCACTCCGGCTCCTCTGGATTCTGAAGTTTGTGACCCTCTGAACCTCTTCTGGGGACACCCTCCAAATACTGAAAGCAGGACCGGAAGTGTGGCAGCCCCCACATGAGCCCCGGAGATGGCCACGGTGTAGTGAGTGACTGGGAGGCTGCGGTCCTGCCCTCCCCCAGGTCACAGGGAAAGTAGAAGGTGGTCATGTGGTCACGTGAGCACAGTGGGCTTCCAGTATGGGTCGCCACCAAAGGGGACCGGCCCTGAACCAACAGCAGGAGGCAGAGGGTCAGTGAGAAGAAAGTGGAGGATGCCCCTGGGGTCCCAGGGCAGGAGCAGGGATGGTAACTGAGGCAGGAAAAAGGTAGGACTCTGCCTGTGCGACCTGGGATGGGGGGGTGTGTGTGTGTGCACATGTGTGCACGTGCACCTGTGTGTTCCCCCTGCCTGTGTTTCTCTGACCCGTTTCCCGCCCCTCCTGTGTTGCCCCCTGATTTCTATGTGTTCCTCCTGCTTGTGTGTGTGTCCTCAGACCCGTGTGTGTCCCCCTGCATGTGTGTCCCTTCTGCTTGTGTGTGCCCCCTGACCTGTGTGTATGCCCACTGCCCTGCCCCATGTGTGTCTGACCCCCAACCCGTGTGTGTCCCCCCTGCCTCTGTGTTCCCTGCCAGTTCTTGTATGCGTCCCCCCAGCCTATATGTGTTCCCTCCACTAGTGTGTGCCCCTGCCTGGCCATGTGTCCTCCCCTGGCCTGTTCCCCCTGGTGTGCGTCCCACCCAGGCTGTGTTCTTCCCAGACTCTCTGTGTCCCCTTTGCCTGTGTGTGTCCTGCGTCTCATGCTTGCTCTGCCGTAGGCAAGCTGCATTGGGTGTGGATGCCTGGACCACCCCATAGCAGCCTTGGTGGTGACTGGTTCCTTTGCCATCTTCCTGTGGGGGGCAGGGGCCAGGCCACCTCACCTCTGGCCTTCCTGGCCTCTGCTTGGAGCAAGCCAGTGGCCTGGGGCATCCCCACATAGCCTCCTCGTGGGCGTTGGAGCTTCGCCAGCAGTTTTCTTGCTTGGTTGCAGTCATTGACACTTTAAAATGGCTTTATCAGGCCTAGTGTCTGGGGAAGCCTGGCGCCTTCTCTTTGGAAGCTGAATGTGAAAGTCAGGGTCTGACTTGTCTCTTTCATTGTGGGGTCTTTGAGGCCCCCTCAGGCCGCGGTGGGGTCTGCAGCTGTCACTGAGCCAAGGGGCTGGCATCTTTCTCTGTGGGGTGGCAGGATTGAGGGCAGGCTGCCACAGGAAGCAGATGCCCAGCCAGGGGGGCACACTGCCAGAGCGGTAGTGGGGGGGGGGGTCCTGGCCACGGGTGCATGCTTACCACCACATGCTTCATAATTTTTTGGTTTGGGTGTGACCTTGGGGGAGCTGGCACCATTGCCCAAGTCGGGGGCCGGGCCTAAGCAGTGCCCCTTATGTAGCTCTGTCCTCCTGGATCAGGCCTGACCCCCCACCCTGCCCCCTTCTCCCCACACTTGGATACCTCTTCTTGCGGGGGGTGGGGGCGCCTGCGGGCCTGCCTGGTGCTTCCATGCCCACCCAGCTAGCCTGCCTGGGCTCCAGAGCGAGGCATGGACCTTAGGACCAGAAACCCTGTCAGAGGCCAGGCGAGCAGTTGGTGTCCTGCAGGAAGGCTGGCGGGCAGGCTTGCACACCTGCTAGGCAGAGCTGCTCCTACACAGATACCAGGGGCCACAGCTCTGGGGGGTCTTTGGACCCCATGGGTGTGTCCTTGTGGGACTTCCTCTCTCCTCTGTAAACAGGTTTTTGGATGCGTGGTGGAAGTGAGTACCCCTCAGCTAATCTTGCCCCCATGTAGACTGACCGCAGGCTGCTGTGTTTCTGCCTTGTCAGCGCCCCACCAGGATCCAGCCGGAGACCCCCAGGGCTGAGAAGATGCCGAAGCAGAAGGTGCACAGGATGCTCCTTTATTTGCGCCACGATACCCCCCTCCTCAGCTTCGGAGAGACCCAGGCTGCGTGCCTGTTGGCACCTCTGGGCTCCAGGCACCCCTCTGAGGGTGAAGAGCGAGGGGAACTGGGATCTGCTTCAGGCGGGGGTGGGCGTGGAGGGCCTCGCAGTCGCTCCGGCCCTGCTGTCCGAGTGGGGGGAAAGGGCATCCGCATTGATGGGCCCTAGCGGGCCAGCCAGCTGGAGCTGAGTTGCTGCGGTCTGTCAGGGGCAGCCTCAGGGACGCAGGCCTGCTCGCAGTCGCACGCATCCACGTAGGTGTAGCTGTGCTGGATGGTGGTACTGTCCGGGCAGTGCAGGGTCACTGTCCGCTGGTGTGTCCGCAGCTCCCGGCAGCACGTGCAGTGGTGCTGCATGGTCTGGGCGTCCGGCGAGTACCTGCAACATGGTCGCAGTGCCATCGTCTGGGGGCAGCCGCCCACCCTCCCTTGACCAGTGCTGCCCACAGACCCTCCTTCCCACTTCTCTGCCCTGCATTCGGCCACCCGCAGCCTGGGCCTTCAGGAATGGGGACACCTCAAGGGAGCACCACGACTGCTGCCTGCCAGGGGGTCTTGGGGGTCTCTGAGCCCAGGTTCCTGTGGAGACCCCAACTAGGGTTGCCTGGTCCCTCCTCCCTGTCTGGATAGGGCAGAACCCTTGAGATCCAGTGGGCATTGAGCCAGGGACAGCATATGACCCTAGACATGGGAGACACTCACCTGGACATGCCTGGACAGGAGCCTTCGCAGAAGGGGACATTGACTGCCACTTCAGTGACACAGTCCCCGTGCTGCAGGACTGTCATGTTGGTACGGACATGGCAGGAACCTGAGCAGAGGGAGGACAGTGGAGGTATCTGAGGACACTGCTCTGCTATGGTGCTGCCTCTCTGAGTCCCCCCAAAGCCCAGCTTCCAGGGCAGAGCCTGGCCAGAGCTGGGGTGTGGGCAGACGGGCCGGTCTCACCTTTCACATCTTCCTCACAAGTATAGCAGCACCCAGATTTCCTCAGGATGCCCTGTAGGGGGACGGGGTGGAGGGTGGGATTTGCATACTGGGTCCAGGTTGCACAATATCTGCAGGGGTCCCTTTGCCACAGAGCCTGCCCCTCCCTCATCAGTCCCTCCCACTGGGAGCCTCCACAGTAGGGTGGGTGGGTAGACCACACAAGGGCGGCCCTCCTGGGGTAGGACCTGCTGGAACCAGGCTATAAGCAGATGTCCAGGGAAAGGTGGGTCCTGAATCTTGGGGCACATACCCTGCAGCTGGACACATCTGGGCAGGCTGTGGGCCTCAGCATCAGTAAGAAGCGCCCGTTCTCAGCCTCGCAGTGGTACTCTGTGCAGTTGTCCAGGCTGTTGGCCCAGGTCTCATTGGGCTGAAATGCAAAGGGAAGAGGGGGTAGAGGCCATGCTTTGGGCCGTCAGGCGGGAGAGGGGGGCGGTCTCTGGGCCCCCGTTACCTGTATTAGCCCACCGTCAGGCGTGAAGCAGGTTGACTGCAGACACTCCCCACAGCACTGCCCGGCTATAGTCGTGTAGTGGAAGCCCTGGAAGATAGGCCAAGCTTATCCCCTGCACCAGTCCTGCCGGCTGCCTGAGTAGTGCCCCGCACAGGGAGGCTTGCCTCTGCCCAGGACTGCTGTGGCAGAGGGCCTGGCCCAGCCCCCACCTCTGGCGTTACCTGGGGGCAGGTGGTCATGCACGTCTCCTTTTCACAGTGTATGGTCGGCTCTTGGGTGCCCGTGGACAGACAGGTGCATGTGTGGCAGGGAGTGACTGCTGGGAAGGTGGCACCAACCTGCAGTGGGCGAGGGGCCGGGTGGGGTCACTGAGGGCTCTGGGGACCAGACCCTCCCTGAGTCTGAGAGTACCCTGGGAGGAGGTGAGGTCACCGCATGCTGTGTCTGCTGCCCTGGAATCTGGATGTGCCCTTGGCTGGGCATGGGGCAGGGCAGGTCTTGAGGATGCTTCCCCCCCCCAACATACACATTTCCCCAAGTCCTGACAGCAGCCGACACCCTGGGCCTTCCCACCACCAGTTTCCTCAGCTCCGAAAGTGTTCACATGAGGACTGGTGGCCTAGGGGACGTGGAGGCATGTGCATGTACCCTGGCTGCTGGGCCCTTACCCCGTAGACTGTGCCGTTGTATTCACACAGCTTAGGCCCTGCAAGCAAAGGAGGTACTGAGCACTTGCCCAGCAGTGGGGAGCCCCGCCCACCAACAAGCCCCACCCGCCAGAAGGCCCGCCCACCTGGCAAGCCCAACCCCTACCATAACGCTCCACCCAGAAAGCTCTGCCCCCGAAGCCCGGCCCTCATCAGCTCACGGCAGGTGAAGGTGGGGCAGCAGTTGCCCCCCTCCTGGGTGGGGATCAGTTCCTCTTGCGGCCCACATTCTGGAGGGTTCTGCGGGCAGGTGGTGATGTTGCAGACTGTAGGAATGGGGGAACTGTTGGGGTACCTTCAGCTTTCGTCGGCCCAAGCGCCCCTTTTCTCTGAGCCTAAGGGAGCTGACTGCTTGCGAGATCCCTGACGCATGGGACCCCTCCGCTCATTTCCAAAAGCCCGTTCCCAGTGCTGAGCCCCTCTCCCGGCCCGGCCCGGCCCTGCCCTAGCTCACCGCACAGTGTCTCTGAGCAGCAGGGATTGTCTGCCCGGGGTCGGGTCACAGTCACGAAGCCAGCCAGGCCACACTCAGGGGGCAGGTCCTGGACTGGGCAGGGCAGGGGGGTGCAGCGCACCGATACGGGGCTCCCTGCACACTCGCACTCCTGGCAGTTGCTCACCCACCGCTCCCCTGGCTGTAACACATTAGGGCAGAGTCCCCCAGGGCTCTTGACCCACAGGCCCCTACCTTGGCTGCCCTTTGAGCGGCCCACCTGGGCACCCCCCTCCAGCCCCCAGGAGCCTGCCCCGCCCTGCTTCAGCCAGCATGGAGGTAGGAGGCAGGACAGGACCACTCACGAATTTGGGGTACCCATCTGGTCCCACGCAGGCTGGAAGGGAAAGAGAGGAGGGTCAGTAGGGGGACTAGTGGCCTGAACTGGGCCATGGGAGTGCAGAGATGTGTCCTTCCCTGTAAGCACCCCTACCTCAACCCCCAGGCTGCTGCCTCCCTTGGGGACCCAAGGGCTGAGGTGTCTGATAGGGCAGAACAGTCAGCAGGACACTGAGCAAGGGCCAGGACACCTCCCTCCTGGCCCTGAGCTGTGATGCCTCCCTCCCTGCCCTCGGCCACCCGCCCTCCTGGCCCTTGGACACCCACACTCACGGCACTGGGGCACGCAGACGTCCGTGTATGCATTGAACAGGGTCTGGCCATCTGGGCAGAAGCAGCCCTCTGCTAGTGCTGTGCTAACGGGGCTCTGGGCCCTGCAAGACAAGGACACGGTGGCGGGACCCTCCCCACTGGAGGGCACCTGGTGCTGGGGGTCGCCTGGATCCCCCGTACCATGGTGACGCCCGCTGTGTGTGCTCACCTGGAGTCACAGGTTGGCGGCTGTGCAGGGCCACACGGCTCATAGACTTTCCCGGGTGGGCAGGTGAGGTCTGGGAACGAGAGGGGAGTCAGGGGGGCCAAGGGAAGCAAGCCCCCTGCTGTCCCCACACTCACCGCAGAGCCCGCCTGTGGCATTCCTCCAGTCGCTACACACGCCCCGGCCCCGGCACAGTGCAGCGTAGGCCTCCAGGCTCTGGCAGGGTGTGGCCGGGTGGCTGGTCTGGCAGCCGTCGCTGAGGCAGGCACTGAGGAAGGGCTCGGGTGGGATGAGGTCCTGGCACTCGGCGAACACCCTGAGGGCAGGGGCGTGGGTCAGAGCCACCCTCGGACTCACCCGGAGCCAGGGCCACAGCCCAGCCCAGCCCACCCCACTGGGAACTCACTCGCTCAGCAGCAGCTCACAGAGGGGTGCCGGGGGGCATGGGGTGGATGTGGACATGGTTGGCGCCGGTGAGGGGCTGGCAGTGGGGGGTGGGCTGGGCGGGGCCCAGCACCCTTCCTTGTTGCTCTCGGGGAACAGCCAGGAGCTGGCCATGTCCCGGCAGCTGGGGGCCATGGTACCGTCTGGCCGCCGACAGTCGTCTGCCTGGCTATTGGTGCAGGTGCCTGGGAGGAGGTGGCGTTGGGGGGGCGGGAGCAGGCTACTCACCCCACAGTCCTGGCTGCCGCCCCTGTCCCCGGAGACCACTCACCCCACAGTCCCTTCTGCCGCCCCCTCCCTGAGGGCCTCTCACTGCACTGACCCTCCTGCCACCCCTGGCACTTACCACACTGGCCCTCTGTGTTGTGGTGAAAGAGGCCGTAGGGCAGCTGGATCTGGAAGGCCTGGCCGTCGAAGGTGATGCTGATGCCGATGACCGGGATGACCAGGCTCATGGCTGTGGCCACCGTGGCCGACACCTGCACACCATTCTTGCTGAAGCTCTGGGACACCCGCATCTGGTCAAACAGGATCTGGGACAGACAGGGGTGTCACCGTGGGGGCCGGTGAGACCCTGCCTCCTGGGCTGGCCTCTGCACCCGCATTCTCACACTCCTGCCCTGTCCAGCCCCCGCACCAGGCTCTCCCGCTGGCCGCTGGGGCTGGTGGTGGTGCTGAGGATGACTTCTGTGGATTGGTACCGCACACGGAGCGCGCGGGGGCAGCGGGCAGCAGGTGGAGAGGCCTCGCAGAAGGAGTTGTCGAGGAGGACGCTGAGGTTCCTGAGCTGCGGGCGGATCTCCCGCACCAGGACGTAAGTGCAGTTGTCGGAGAAGGAGTAGCTGGTGCCGTCGAAGGTGGAGTAGTGGGAGTTACCCCAGCCACTGCAGGAGCCTGTGGGGCGGCTGTGTCACTGTGTTGCGTGATGTGGGCGGGGACTTGGGGGACGTGACCCCGTGGACGGGGGCAGAGAACCGGGGGTGTGAGTGATAGCACTGGGGGCACTTAGCCCTGAAGTGGAGAGATGGGGGTGGGAAAGGAACTCTGCTGCATGCAGTTGCCCAGCTGTGGTCACTAGCTGGCTGACCCGGCTCCTGTGGACGCCCCGTTCTCTGACTCAGTGACCTCAGTTTGTGATGTCTGTACTCGCACGGCCCAGCAGGGTTCCAGGGGGCGTCCACCCTCTACCCGCGTCCTGCACTCACACTCGCACTCGTAGTGGTAGTCGCATGGCTCATCCTCGTGGCCCACTTTGACTGGCGGGAGCCCGTTCACACAGGTCACGGGGGCCACAGGCGTGGGTTCCAGCAGGACGATGTGGTTGTGTCCCTCGCAGCGGGCCACGGTACAGTCCTCGAGGGTCCACGACTCATTCACCTGTCACAGGGCAGTGTAGCGCTGGTGGGGCGGCCACACAGCACCCCCCGCAAGAGCTCCCCAGAGGTGTGAGGAACAGTGGACTGGAACTCTCCAGCCTCATGCGTGGCAGGAGGCAGCCCCGAGGGAGGCACCTGTCGGGGAGGGTCGACGAGGTCGCAGCCTGGAGCCGGGGAGGGCAGAGGCGTGGAGACGGAGGGTGTGGGGGGTGAGGGGCTGGGACAGTCGTCCTGGAAGCGGTCGATGGCACAGTGCTGGTTGCAGATAGCATAGAAGCGGCAGCCGGCTCTGTCCGTCTTGTTGTATACCACATCCCCTATGAGAAATGCAGTCAGCAGGTGGCAAGGGATACTGGCCAGAGGGGCAGGGCCAGCACAGAGGCAAGGACAGAGGCCCAGAAACCCCAAGAGCATGGAATGGAGGCTGGGTGGCAGCCGGGCACTCACCGGGCAAGAAGAGCTGTCCGAATGCCTGACAGAAGCAGTGTGAAGTGGGGGCCAGAGAGCTGGGGCTGGTGGTGGGCTCCAGACTGAAGGCCGTGGGGTGAGCGGTCGACAGGCTCATATCTGGCTGGCCGGAGGAGGTGGCCCCGGTGGTGGGGACCACAGGCGTGCGGGTAGTGGCAGGGGTGGTGGCGCGAGTCGCGGTGGTGGCGGCCGAGCTGGCGCACCGGCTGTAGTCACAGCAGAGCAGGCGCACGTGGTAGTTGTGGCAGTAGGGCCGGGGCTGCGGCTGCTCACGGTTGCGACACACCAGCCCCACACTCACATTGCACATGACCACCTGGTCCAGCTGCTCCAGGGCCACCTGCGGCTTCAGTTCCGAGCGACACTCGATGTCCTCTGGCTGCTCGCAGAAGATGTGGCCGGCGGCTCGGAGCACTGCTAAGGTCTCAAAGTCTCCCCCGTTGGGGCCTGGCGTGGGGTAGTCCTCATCGAACCAGTCTGTCCATGCGCACTGCGGCTCACAGCCCTGGCTGGGGGACGTGGCCTCGGGAGGAGTGGTGGAGCTGGGCTGTGAGGGCAGGGTGCTGGTCGAGGGTCTCCTGGTGCCTGGGAACCTGGAGGTGGTCTTTATGTGGGCAGTTACCACGGGGGAAGTGGTTGAGGTCAGGGAAGAGGCTGGTCTGGTGGATGCGCTGGGGATTGTGGACGAGGGAGAGGGACCTGGCACAGAGACCCTTTCAGTGGTTCTGGGGGACGAGGCTCCTGTCTGTGTGGTGAATTCAGTGATGCTAGGTGTGGCCCTTGGAGAGGAAGGTCCAGTCAGCGTGGAGGACTTAGTGGCGCTTGTGGTGGGTCCTGGTGAAGAGGATCCTGCTTCCGTGTTCGACATGGTTATCCAAGGAGTAGCCTTGGGGGTGGATGCTTCAGTTTCTGTGGCGGAAAAGGTGGTACTTGTGGTAACCCTGTGGGAGAAGGATACTGTCTCTGTGGTTGATTTGATGGCACTTGGTGTGACTCCTGGAGAGGAAGGGCCTATTTCCGTGGTTGCTTTGGTGGCACTTGATGTGGCCCCTGGAGAGGAGAGTCCTGTCTCTGTGGTTGACTTGGAGGCACTTGGTGTGGCCCCTGGAGAGGAGGGTCCAGTCTCAGTGGTTGATTTGGTGGCACTTGGTGTGGCCCCTGGGGAGGAGGGTCCTTCATGTGTGGTTGATTTAGTGGCACTTGTTGTAACCCTTGGAGAAGAGGGCACTGTCTCTGTGATTGCTTTGGTGGCACTTGGTGTGGCCATTGGAGAGGAGGGTCCCATCTCCGTGGTTGATTTGGTAGTGCTTGGTACCACCCCTGGGGAGGAGGGTCCCGTCTCTGTGGTTGATTTGGTGGCACTTGGCGTGATCCCTGGAGAGGAGTGTCCTTTCTCAGTGGTTGTTTTGGTGGCACTTGGTGTGGCCCCTGGAGAGGAGGGTCCAGTTTTCGTGGTTGATTTAGTGGAACTTGGAGTGGGCCCTGGAGAGGAGTGTCCTGTCTTGGTGGTTGATGTGGTGCCACTTGGCATGACCCATGGAGAGAAAGATCTCGTCTCAGTGCTTGATTTGGTAGCACTTGGTGTGGCCCCCGGGGAGGAGGGTCCTGTTTTTGTGGTTGTTTTAGTGGCACTTGGTGTGGCCCCTGGAGAGGAGGGTTCTTCATGTGTGGTTGCTTTGGTGGCACTTGGCGTGGCCCCTGAAGACGAGGCTCCTGTCCCCGTGGTTGATTTGGTGGCACTTGGTGTGGCCCCTGGAGAGGAGGGTTTCATCTCAGTGGTTGATTTGGTGGCACTTGGCGTGGCCCCTGGAGACGAGGGACCTGTCCCCGTGGTTGATTTGGTGGCACTTGGCGTGGCCCCTGGAGAAGAGGCTCCTGTCCCCGTGGTTGATTTGGTGACACTTGGTGTGGCCCCTGAAGACGAGGCTCCTGTCCCTGTGGTTGATTTGGTGGCACTTGGTGTGGCCCCTGGAGAGGAGGGTTTCATCTCAATGGTTGATTTAGTGACACTTAGGGTGGCCCCTGGAGATGAGGCTCCTGTCTCCGTGGTTGATTTGGTGGTACTTGGCGTGGCCCCTGGAGAGGAGACTCTTGTCTGTGTGGTGGACAAGGTGGCACTTGCGGTGGCCGCAGGGGAGGAGGGTCGCGTCTGGGTGGTGCCTGGTGTTCCACTATGTGGCCCCTCTGATGTGGGCTGGCCAGTGCTGGTCCCGCTGGTGGTGGCGGTGGGTGCGGGCGAGCTGGTGCAGTGGCTGTAGTCATCACAGCACTGCACGCGCACGTGGTAGTTGAGGCAGTTGCGGCCCCACACCTGCCAGCTGTTCCTGCAGATGAGCCCGTAGTGCACGTCACACTGCACCACCTGACCCAGCTGCTGGAGCTCCACCCCCGGGAAGAGCACAGCCTCGCACTCAATGGCCACTGGCTCAGCGCACAGCTGGCCATGGACGCTCTCGATGTGATAGTACGTCTCGATGTCACCCCCATAGCGGCCAGGCAGGGGCTGGTCCGAGTCCAGCCAGTCGGTCCAGCGGCAGGCAGGTTGGCACCCAGAGGTGGTCCCGGCAGGGCCGGTGCTGGGTGACATGGGTGACAGTGTGGAGGTGCTGGTGGGCAGCGGGGAGTGGGGCCGGGTGCTGGGGCCGGCGATGGCGGTGGTGGCCGGGGTGCTGGGGCAGTGGCTGTAGTCACAGCAGAGCACGCGGACCTGGTAGTCGAGACACATCTTGAAGCGGCCGACCTGGTCACGGTTGCGACACACCAGGCCATCCTGCAGCCGGCACTGCACCACCTGGCCCAGCTCTGGCAGCGGCACGTCAGGCAGAGCCGCCGCGCGGCACTCCAGAGCCACGGGCTGCTCGCACAGGACGTGGCCGGCAGCGCGGAGGCTGGCATAGGTCTCAAAGTCACCGCCAGTGGCCCCGGGCACTGGGTTGCTCTCATTCAGCCAGTCCGACCAGGAGCAGCGGGGCTGACAGGCTGTGGTCCCCGAGCCGGGGGTCACGGAGGCGGCAGGGGGTGCTGAGGTCAGCAGGGGCGTTGTCTGGATCAGGCCCGGGGTGCCTGAAGCCGTGGAGGCAGACGTGGAAGGGCCAGAGGAGGTGCTCCCTGGAGAGTCTGTGGCCTTGGGTGTGGGGGACGGTGGGAGGGACCTGGTGCTTAGCCCCACTTTGGCGGTATTTGGAGCTGTGCCAGTCTCTGTGCTGGGGGGCGGGAGCGTGGTCCCAGGGGATGCTTCTGGGGACAGGGACTGGCCAGGGGAGGTGGCCCCGGTGGTGGGGACCACAGGCGTGCGGGTGGTGGCGGGGGTGGTGGCGCGAGTGGCGGTGGTGGCGGCCGAGCTGGCGCACCGGCTGTAGTCACAGCAGAGCAGGCGCACGTGGTAGTTGTGGCAGTAGCCGAGGGGCTGCGGCTGCTCGCGGTTGCGACACACCAGCCCCACACTCACATTGCACATGACCACCTGGTCCAGCTGCTCCAGGGCCACCTGCGGCTTCAGTTCCGAGCGACACTCGATGTCCTCTGGCTGCTCGCAGAAGATGTGGCCGGCGGCTCGGAGCACTGCTAAGGTCTCAAAGTCTCCCCCGTTGGGGCCTGGCGTGGGGTAGTCCTCATCGAACCAGTCTGTCCATGCGCACTGCGGCTCACAGCCCTGGCTGGGGGACGTGGCCTGGGTGGGAGTTGAGCTGGGCTGTGAAGGGCGGACGGGCAGTGTGGTGGCTGAGGGAGTCACTGTGACTCGGGTGCTGGAGGTGGTCTGTATGTAGGTAGTAGCCACAGGGACAGTTTTTGAGGTCAGGGAGGATGCCGGCCTTGTGGATATGCTGGGGACTGTGGGAGAGAGAGAGGGACCAGGCACAGAGACCTTTTCAGTGGTCCTGGGGGATGAGACTCCTGTCTGTGTGGTGGATTCAGTGGCACTTCGTGTAGGCCCTGTGGACGAGGGTCCCATCTCCGTGGTTGATTTGGTGGCACTTGGCGTGGCCCCTGGAGACGAGGCTCCTGTACCTGTGGTTGATTTGGTGACACTTGGCATGGACCCTGGAGAGGAAGGTCCCATCTCAGTGGTTGATTTGGTGACACTTAGGGTGGCCCCTGGAGATGAGGCTCCCCTCTCTGTGGTTGATTTGGTAGCACTTGGCGAGGCCCCTGGAGAAGAGACTCCTGTCCCCGTGGTTGATTTGGTGACACTTGGCGTGGCCCCTGGAGACGAGGCTCCTGTCTCCGTGGTTGATTTGGTGGCACTTGGTGTGGCCCCTGGAGAGGAGACTCTTGTCTGTGTGGTGGACAAGGTGGCATTTGCGGTGGCCGCAGGGGAGGAGGGTCGCGTCTGGGTGGTGCCTGGTGTCCCAGTATGTGGCCCCTCTGATGTGGGCTGGCCAGTGCTGGTCCCGCTGGTGGTGGCGGTGGGTGCGGGCGAGCTGGTGCAGTGGCTGTAGTCATCACAGCACTGCACGCGCACGTGGTAGTTGAGGCAGTTGCGGCCCCACACCTGCCAGCTGTTCCTGCAGATGAGCCCGTAGTGCACGTCACACTGCACCACCTGGCCCAGCTGCTGGAGCTCCACCCCCGGGAAGAGCACAGCCTCGCACTCGATGGCCACTGGCTCAGCGCACAGCTGGCCATGGACGCTCTCGATGTGATAGTACGTCTCGATGTCACCCCCATAGCGGCCAGGCAGGGGCTGGTCCGAGTCCAGCCAGTCGGTCCAGCGGCAGGCAGGTTGGCACCCAGAGGTGGTCCCGGCAGGGCCGGTGCTGGGTGACATGGGTGACAGTGTGGAGGTGCTGGTGGGCAGCGGGGAGTGGGGCCGGGTGCTGGGGCCAGCGATGGCGGTGGTGGCCGGGGTGCTGGGGCAGTGGCTGTAGTCGCAGCAGAGCACGCGGACCTGGTAGTCGAGACACATCTTGAAGCGGCCGACCTGGTCACGGTTGCGGCACACCAGGCCATCCTGCAGCCGGCACTGCACCACCTGGCCCAGCTCTGGCAGCGGCACGTCAGGCAGAGCCGCCGCGCGGCACTCCAGAGCCACGGGCTGCTCGCACAGGACGTGGCCGGCAGCGCGGAGGCTGGCATAGGTCTCAAAGTCACCGCCAGTGGCCCCGGGCACTGGGTTGCTCTCATTCAGCCAGTCCGACCAGGAGCAGCGGGGCTGACAGGCTGTGGTCCCCGAGCCGGGGGTCACGGAGGCGGCAGGGGGTGCTGAGGTCAGCAGGGGCGTTGTCTGGATCAGGCCCGGGGTGCCTGAAGCCGTGGAGGCAGACGTGGAAGGGCCAGAGGAGGTGCTCCCTGGAGAGTCTGTGGCCTTGGGTGTGGGGGACGGCGGGAGGGACCTGGTGCTTAGCCCCACTTTGGCGGTATTTGGAGCTGTGCCAGTCTCTGTGCTGGGGGGCGGGAGCGTGGTCCCAGGGGATGCTTCTGGGGACAGGGACTGGCCGGGGGAGGTGGCCCCGGTGGTGGGGACCACAGGCGTGCGGGTGGTGGCGGGGGTGGTGGCGCGAGTGGCGGTGGTGGCGGCCGAGCTGGCGCACCGGCTGTAGTCACAGCAGAGCAGGCGCACGTGGTAGTTGTGGCAGTAGCCGAGGGGCTGCGGCTGCTCGCGGTTGCGACACACCAGCCCCACACTCACATTGCACATGACCACCTGGTCCAGCTGCTCCAGGGCCACCTGCGGCTCCAGCTCCGAGCGACACTCGATGTCCTCTGGCTGCTCGCAGAAGATGTGGCCGGCGGCTCGGAGCACTGCTAAGGTCTCAAAGTCTCCCCCGTTGGGGCCTGGCGTGGGGTAGTCCTCATCGAACCAGTCTGTCCATGCGCACTGCGGCTCACAGCCCTGGCTGGGGGACGTGGCCTGGGTGGGAGTGGTGGTGCTGGGCTTTGAGAGGCGGGCGGGCAGCGTGGTGGTCGAGGGGCTCCTGGTGCCCGGGGACCTGGAGGTGGTCTTTCTGTGGGGGGTCACCACGGAGGCTGTCTCGTCGTTCCTGGATGAAGCCCCCCAGGTGGTGGTGGCTTGCGAGCCGGGTGTGGACTTGGAGGCCTGCTCGTCCCCGGTAGGCGTGGTGCTGAGCTCGGGCTGGGTGGTTGTGCGGGTGTGTGCGGGCTGTGCCGTGCTGGGGCAGTGGCGGTAGTCGTCACAGCAGAGCACGCGGATATTGTAGTTGAAGCACATGTTGAACGGCCCCTTCTGGTCCCTGTTCCTGCAGATGAGCCCCGTCTGCAGGCTGCAGGTCAGCACCTGGCCGATCTGGTCGATGCTCACCTCGGGGTAGTTCTCCGCGCGGCACTCGATCTTCTGCGGCTGCTCACACAGCCGGCCCCCTGCCGCTCGGATGTTCTCAAATGTCTCGATGTCACCACCCATGACGCCAGAGGTGGGGAAGTCCACGTCCAGCCATTCTGTCCACTCGCACCTGGGCTGGCAGCCTGTTGTCCCTGTGCTGGTGGTGGCCTCGGCGGTGACCGGCACTGTCTCTCTCCCGCCTGTGCTCGTCTCCTTGAGGTAGGGAGTTGGGGAGCCCGGTGGGACGGTGCTGGTCTTGCCCACCTGGGCCCCTGTTGCTGGGCGAGTTGTGAATCTTTGCACTGTCACCAACACAGGGGTGGGCTCTTGGGAGGACGCCTCCATGACCTTCTGTGTGGTTGTGTGACTCGGATGGACAGACGTGGCCTGGCCCGGGACGCTGGTTGTAGTGGTGCCGGGAGCAGACGTGGGGCTTCCTACAGTGGACGATGACGTTCTGCTCGGGAGACTGGGGAGCAGTGATGTGGCTCCTGCCGGCAGGGAGGAAGGCGCTGTGGTGCTGCCCAGGGTGGTCCCTGGCATGGTCCCAGGCTCTGTGGCTGGCAACTTGGTGGTGGGCGTGGCTGAGCTGGTAGTGGCAGTGTTGGCCATGGTACTGACTCTGGTGGTGGAATTGGCGGTGCCGGGCCCTTGGGAGGTGGCACCGTTGACCGTGGTGGTGGTGCCCGCGTTGGCTGTGGTCGTGGGCAGCCCGCAGTGGCTGTAGCTGCAGCACAGAATGCGGACCCTGTAGTTGTAGCACATCTTGAACAGGCCCGGCTGCTCCTGGTTCCTGCACTCCAGGCCGAAGTTGACGTCACAGTGCACACGCTGCCCCAGCTCCTCTGGGGTCTGGTCCGGGAAGTTCTCTGCCCGGCACTCGATGTCCTGCGGCTGCGCACACACGTCCCCTCCCGCATTCCGGATCCTGTCATACGTCTCCATGTCCCCGCCAGCCTCCTCGGACTGGGGGTAGTCTGTATCGAACCACTCTGTCCACTGGCACCGGGGCTGACAGCTGGTAGCCTCTGGGGCCCCGCTGGATGGGGCCTGTGAGGGGGAGGCCGCCGTGGACCGGAAGGTGGACGTGGCCCCTGTGGGGGTGGGCTGGGATGCCGGGGGTGGCACCGGGGTGGTGCTGCTCTGGATGGGCCTGGGAGTAGCAGGGGCTGGGGATGTGGCGCAGGGCACGTAATCGCAGCACAGCACCCGCACCTCGTAGTTGTGGCAGAGGGGGGGGCTCTGCTCACTGTTGAGACACACCAGTCCCCGGGCCAGGCTGCACTCCACCGTCTGGCCCAGCTCGGCCAGGGCCAGGCTGGGCAGCTGCTGTGCGCGGCACTCCACCTCGACCGGCTGCGCGCACACCGGGTAGCCCTTCTGCCTCAGCCCCTCGAAGGTCTCGAAGTCTCCGCCTCCCAGTCCGGGCAGGGGCCGGCTGCTGTCGTACCAGCTGGACCACTGGCAGCGCTGGCGCACGCACACAGTGGAGACGGTGGGCGCCCAGCCTGTGGGGGGAGCAGGACCGCGTCGGTCTCCCCCGCGTCTCCCAGACAGCCAGCACCGGAGGGAGCACCGGTCCCGGGGCCCCGCAGCGCCCAGCTCGCTCACCCCTGGCACCTAGGCAAGGCTGGCTCAGGGCAGTGGACGCAGAACCGGCGTGTCCCCAGCCATACCTGTGGTCGGGATGGGGGCTTCAGTGGTCGTGAAGGTGAAGGGTGTCGTGGCTGGGGTTCCCGGACAGTCCACGGCCGTGCGGGTGATGGTGCCGTTGTCTCCGCAGACGGCGAGCAGGCAGCCGCCCAGCCCATCGGTCGTGTTGTAGATGACTTCCTTGTAGCCGTAGGTTCTGCCCTCGTAGGTGCAGGTGCAGGCTGGGCACAGGACGGTACAGGCGTGGGTCACTCAGAGACCCTGGCACCAGCCCCCCACCCAGCAGCCCCTCCTTACCCTCAGGGCTGTGTGTGCACTGGACGCCAGCAGCGGTGCAGTTGCTGTGGGAGAGAGCAGAGCCCTGAGGCCCGGCTCAGCCCAGGACAGCACCGTGGCCCCCACCCCGCGCCCTCCCTGCCCCCTCCCCGGCCTCCACGGCCGCTGCCCACAGCCTCTCACCAGCGCTGGCAGTTCTCCACTGGGGGGATGCTGGTCCCAATCTCATAGTAGTTGTCCTGCTCGTCGTAGCAGCCACACCGCGCCACACAGCTCATCGCCTCCTCGCTGAAGAATGGCTTGCTGGGAGGACACTTCGGGTAGCAGCCTGGAGCCGGCACAGGCAGGACGGAAACCTCGCAGCCGCCCACCCACCCTCCCATCTCTGCCTCTCTCCCGCAGGGGGTTCCAGGGTCCCCGGTCGGGACGGCACTGTGACAGGGTGGCGCTCACCTTCCAGGCCTGGCAGGTCCATCAGGCAGCGCCCACTGGGGTTGCGGCAAGTTTTCAGGCAGGGGGCCCCGCACGGCTCGTAGTGCCACTCACACTCTCCGTGGGGGTTGTAGTAGTCGCAGAACAAGGCTGAGCACATACAACAGAGGCTCAGGTGGCCTTGGGAGTCCCCGCTGCCCTGTCCCGTCTCGCACCCCTGCAGTCCCCATCCCTCACGTAGCTGTCTTGTCTGGGGGTTTTACGCACACGAACATGTGCACACGTGTGTACTGCATGTGTGTTGGTGTCTGCGCGTGCACACACCTGCTGCTTGCATCTCACCCTGCACCAACCAGTACCACTCAGAAAGTACCACAGGCAGGGCTGATGCACCCCTGCATGGCAGTGCAGCACCACAGACACGGCCCACCCAGTCAGCACCAGGCAAACGGACAGAGCCGACCCCCCCCCCCCCCCCGGCACTGCAGACAGCACCAAGGACAGCGTGTTCAGCACCACGGACAGAGCCGGGAGCCGGTTCAGCACTGCAGGCGGAGCCCCACTCACGGCAGATGTCGGGGCTCCTCCAGGACACGCACACGCCCACGTCGCGGCAGGCCTGGGCGTAGGCGGCCACGGCTGTGCAGAAGCACTCGCAGTCCCCGCCCGAGTCGCAGGCGCACGCGTCGCTCACGCAGGCCTCGTAGTACTTGGAGGGGTCGACCTGGGGGCCGGGCCAGGGGCTGCTCAGCAGGGAGCGACGTGGTGGCCAGCTCGGCCAGGCCCTTCCACCCTCAGCTCCTCTGAGGGCAGCGACAGTTGAGGCGGGGGTCCTTGTCGCTCTCCCCTCACCCTGTCCCTCTCCCGGCCTCTGCTTGGCACCTCACTTGGGGGCACCTGTCCTCTGGCCACTTGCCGTGACGCTCTCCGGAAGGGGCACCGGGGGAAATGGGACCTCCACGGTCACGCCTGCCTTTTCTGTGTGCCCCCACTTGTCCTCCCGGACTGGGGAGCAGACCCCGGGTCCTTGTTAGAACAAGGAAGGACTTCCCAGAGCACTGAGGCTGCCCATCGACTGTCCACACATGAGGTCATCTGACCAGAGCTGTGAGCAGGAGGGGCCGATCATCCCAGGGGTCCCTTCAGGGCCAGACCCAGCTCCTTCCTGGGTGAGCAGCCACAGTGCAGCCCACCTCCAAGCCCTGCCTGCCATTCCAAGGGCCCCCTGCCCCACCTGAGGGTGGCAGGCGGCGAAGGTGGCACTGTTGATGAGGCTGCACTGCTTCTGGGCCCACGACTTGCGGTAGGGGTTGGCCGTGCAGGGGTCTCTGGGGACGGGTGCGTCCGGGCAGGACGGGGAGAACTTCCAGCTGTTGCCGAACTCCAGGGCGTTGCCCACCACGGACTGGCCCCGCGTGGTGAAGTCGTTGATGGCCTTGTCGTCGAAGTTCCCGCAGAGCCCGCAGACCCTCCCCTGTAGATCAGAGGCCGTGAGGGGGTGGGGAGCTGCCGCTGCAGGGCCAGCCCGAGGGGACAGCTAGCGGCCAGCTGGAGAAACGTGAGGACAGTTTCCCTGTTTCCCCCGAGATGGCCAGTGAGTTTGCGGGAGGGCGGAGCAGAGCAGACGCCCAGCGTGGGCTCCTGTAGCAGTCCGGTGACTGGGGCCAGAGGGCAATCGGGTCACCCAGGCACAACTCATCTCCAGGGGTTCGGACCCAGCTACCACCCGCCCCTGCCGCGCTCTGCTCCTGCCCCTTGCCTTGTAGTCCTGGCGCAGCCGGATGAACACGCTGGTCCTGCGGTCCCAGGACACCACCAGGCCGTGGCGGGTCTCTACCACCAGGTAGATGCCCATGAGTCGGATCTTGTAGGGCAGCTCCTCGCCAGGTCCCCTCTGCACCACTTTGTGGGTCCCCTCGTGCAGGATCAGCTCGTAGCTCTGGCAAGGGGCACACGGAGCTGAGGGGCTGGCCTCGGGGTGGGGTGGGGCTGTGGGTGGGGCTGGGCCAGTGGGGGAGGCAGAGCCCACCCCTCCTGCGGGGGGCAGTGTGAGCCCAGAGGAACTGTTGTCAGGGTCGAGTGCCCTGACATGGGGCCTGGGAGAGCCTGGACGAAGCTCTGCTGCCAGCAAAGGGAAGTCAAGGGGTGAGCCACAAGGGGCCACGGCTCTCTTCAGCACTCACCCCTGGCCACGCCCCTTCCCTGCCCACTGCTGCTATGTGAAGCCCCGGGCAGCGGCCCCCAGCCAGCTGCTCTGCTCTCTCCCGGAGAACTACTCTGTCTGTGGGAGGTGCCCCAGGTGTGGTGTGCTGACCACAGCCCCTGAAGTCCTGTGCCCCAGCCTGTGCATGTGACCTCCCGGGGGAGGGTCTTCACAGGTGGGCGACTCTGGCTCAGAGTGGATCCAAGTCTACTGAGCTGTGTTCTTAGGAGGGGAGGACCCAGGGAGAGGCTGAGCTGGGAGACTCCAGCCCGGGGATGCCGTGAGGCATAGGAAAGACCCGAGTGCTGAGCCCAAGTCCAGCCCCGGGGCGGGGGTGCATTTCCAGCGGGGGTGGTGTTGGTTCTGAGGTCCTCACCTCCAGGAAGATCTTGATAGCTTTGGAGCAGGTGACACCGGTGGTCCCACAGGGCACATTCTCGGTGACGACGCGGAAGGTCCCATTGGTGGTGCTGCTGCCGCAGTGGTCCTGGGGTGGGAGATGAGCTGAGCCCAGCCCTGTGCGGGGAGGGGTGCTGGGCCCCTACCCAGGCGGGGGTGGGCGCACCTGGGCCAGCGTGTACTCGCAGCTCCCGTCGAAGCTGTACCGCTCGCCGTCGAAGGTGATGAAGTGGCCGTCCCCGTAGGCCACACAGGTGCCCAGACAGGGCTGCCGGCTGCACTCCCAGCGCCGGTTCTTGCAGGTGCTGCGAGGCATCAGGTGTCGGCCCACGGGCTTCGGTGGCAGAGCTGGGCCCAGGGCCCGCACAGGGACAGCACCCCCAGCCCCATGGTCCAGGGAGCCAGGGCACCCCCCACCGTGGGGCGCCTAGTGAGGCCAGGACGCAGCACCTGGCCCACCCTCACCCCTACATCAGTCTCCCCATCCTGCGCACTGCCTGGTGCTGCCTGTGCCCTCCTAGATGGCCCCATGTGTCCGCACGCCCCCCTGGGGGCCCTGCCCCTTCCCGACTCACCAGGTGTTGCAGTCCACCCTGATGGTGTCCCCAGGCCGGTAGGTGGCGTCGTTGTGCAGGCAGGGGCAGTCCTCCTCAGCCACGCAGCCTCCGTTCCCATCGGACACCAGCCCCAGGGGGCATACACAGCCGGACACACAGTGTGTGCTGAACTGTGAAGAGCAGGGCACTGTCAGCAGCTGCCCAGTGCAGGGACCGGCCAGTGGGGCTCCCAGGTCGGTGGGCCATGGTCTTGGGGCACACTCACACAGTCCACGTCCAGCGTGTGGCAGCTCCTAAGGCACTCAGCCCCCGGGGTGCCAGCCGAGGCATTGTTGCAATCCAGGTACACCATGGGGGCCACACACCCTGGGGACAGGAATGCGTGGAGAGGGACCCCACCAGGACAGCCCCCCTGGACTGGACAGAGCCGAGGCCCAGCCACAAGCACCAGCACGAACCCCGCCCGGTTCCAGTTCCCTGGGATTCTCGACGCCAGGCCGTCCACGGAGTTGGGGTAGCTGGGGAGTGGTGTATGGGCGGGGCTGGGATGTGGGCGGGGCGAGGAGGGGCGGGGCCAGGGCGGAAGGGGTGGCAGGTACCTCTGCTCTTCTGCTCTGAGGCTCCCAGGCAGCTTAATTTGCCGTTGGAACACGAGCTAGGACAGAGGACGCCGTTTCAACCCACAACCGCTGCCCCCTCACATCCAGAACTCCCCTGTTGCCCCAGCCTGGTCCTAAGGTGTTGACCGGGACTAGGGAGGGGACAGTGGAGACCTGGGCACAAAAGCGCCTGGGAAGGAGGCTGAGCTCTATCTGTGGAGGGGACCGGTTGCGAGGTCCACCGTGGCCCTACAGGGACAGCTCCCTGGCCCTCTCCTTCCCCATCCGTCCTCTGTGGGCCCAGAACCGTCTGCACCCCCTGCTCAGGGGTGGGTTTCCGGGGAGACTGAGAGAGATGCCTTGGGAAGCTCCTGCATAGTCCAAGAGCCTTGGGGCAGGCTCCGCTGGTGGGTGCGAGTGGGCTGTGGCGAGGGGCCCGGGTCTCTCACCAGACTATGCCGTTGTCATGCACCACCTCCCCGGGTGCCACCACGGAGCCCCGGAAGTAGCAGGGACAGGCCTCGGCAGGCACGCAGGCGCCGGCATCATCCAGGAAGGTGCCTGGGGGGCAGGTGCAGCCGTCCACGGGCACAAAGTCCACAGCGCAGGTCACGTCGGCCTGGCTCAGGGCACGGCAGGTGGGCTGGCAGCTGTCCACCATGTAGGCATAGCGCTGGGACTTGGGGCAGTTGCTCATGTACTTGGCTGGGGGTCGGAGTGGAGGACACTCAGCTGCGTCCCAGACACCCTCCCCTCTCGTCCACCCTCCTGCCAGGAGGAGGGTGGGGCCGGGAGCGGCGCAGGCCACTCACTGCAGACGCCGTCCCTCCAGCCGTCCAGCAGCACGCCCTTGGCGGCGCAGGCGCGCACGTAGGAGGACAGGGCCGCGCACATGCAGTCCTCACTCTTCTCGCAGTTGCACGTGTCGAACATGCAGTTCTGGGGGCGAGCGCGGGCGTCAGGGCAGCCCGGGTCACCAGGGGCTGCCCCCCCATCCCGGCAGGCCCTGCACCCAGGGGGTCTCACCGAGTGGAAGGGCGTGGGGTTGATGACCCCATGGCAGGCTGCGAAGACGCTGGCGGGGTGCGTGAGCAGGGAGCACCAGTGCTGGGCGTAGTTCTCTGGGGGCAGGAGGGAGGCTGGGCTCGGACCCCGCTTCCTTCCTTACGTGCCCCCGCCGGTTAGAATCTGGGCGGGCAGCTGCCCCTCCTGGCTGGCCCCTCCCTGCTTACGGGTCCACCTGCGACCCCTCACCAGATCCAGCCCAGCCCTCCCGGCACCCAGCAGCTCCTGCTCTCCCGCTCCTGGGCGGGGGGTACCGTTCTCCACGCTGAGGGAGCAGGGGTCCTCGAAGCTGTTCCTGACATTGGGGCAGGAGGCCTGGGTCTTCCAGGTGTTGGCGAAGGCGGCGGCGGTGCCCTCCACCACGCCGCTGAGCGCGCGGAAGTCATCGGCCTGGTTCTGGTTGAAGTTCCCGCAGAGGCCTGCGGCGAGGGACGGCGGGGTCAGCCGCCCCGGCTCTGCACCAGCGCCCCGTGGGGTGGAGCAGCTGCCCTCCCAGCGACCACCTTCCCCCATGCCACCTGCAGCCCCCTGGATCTGAGTCAGGGCAGGGTCTCTGGGTCTGGGCGGAGCCCCGCCCGCCTGGCCCCGCCCCTCCCGGCCTGGCCCCGCCCCGGCCCGCCTTACCGCACATCTGGCCTCGGTGCTCTGGGAGCAGCTGTAGGAAGACCTGCATGAGTGGCACCAGCTGCACCTGGACCTGCAGCCCGAGGGCCGTGTTCAGCACGATGAAGAAGGATGTGGGCTTGAAGATGGTGATGTTGGCTGTGGGCAGGAGCGCCATCAGGAGCTGCCCACACGGCCGTGGGGCCCCAGCCCAGGGCAAGCTGGGGACACCTAACCCCCACCAGGGGCAGGAACACCAAGCATGAGCGTGCTGGGCACAGGGTGCTGACCCCTGCCGGAGGGACCACAGACGGTCCCATGGATTATTCTGGAACTCTCTAGGGACACGAGGGCCAGCAGAAGTGGAGGGTGTGGGCCCACCCTCGGGTCCCAGAAGCGTACCTGCGGACACCGGCAGCTGGGTGTAGATGCTGTTCATGAACACTCCCCCACTGGACTGGATCCGGATGGTCTGGGGTGGAGGGGGCGGTCAGAGGGGAGAGGCCTGCCCCGGTGCCCTCTGCCCGGGCAGTGTCTGGGGTTGCCACTCACCGTGTCCCCGCCATCCAGGCTGAGTGTCACGGCTTTGAGGCAGTTCTCGGTGTCTGTCAGGCCACACTTCCGCAGCTCGGCCAGCACCGTGAAGCTGCTGTCTGCACATTGCTAAGGCGCAAAGCCCAGGGCGGGAGGGGTCAGCGGGCTCCCCGGGCCAGCGGCGAGGGCTGCTGGGGCCCCACCCCCTGTGAGTGTGAGCTGGGGTTTCCCTCTCTGCGGGGGGCGGGGGCAGTGGCTGGCAGGGGCCTGCAGGGAGGGGCCCAGCCTCACCTTGGACAGGACGTAGCTGCAGTCTCCGTGCAGGTCGTACAGCTTCTCGTCATAGGTGGACACGTGGGCCCCACCCTGGACGGAGCAGGTGCCTGGGCACGGGAGGTCCTGGCACTGCCACCGACCCCCGGAGCAGGTGCTGGGCGAGGGAGGGAGCAGAGGGTGCCGTGAGGGGCAGGTGGTCTACAGGGGTCCTCAGAGCCCTCACTGGGACAGGGCTGGCGCCTACCAGGAACTGCAGCTGGAGGTGAAAGAGGCGCCTGGGGCGTAGGTGCGGCCGCCATGGGTGCAGGAGCACTGCTCCAGGGGCACGCAGCCCGTCTGGCCAACGTCGTCCCACACGGTGCCTGCAGGGAGGAGCGGGTGAGGGGGCGGGGCAGGGGCAGTGGGCGGGGCCTGGACCGGGAATGGAGGGGGTGGGGCCAGCAGTGGGTGGAGCCGGAAGCGGGCGGGATCCAGAGAGGGGCGGAGCTAACAGTGGGCGGGAGTCTGGAGAGGGGCGGGGCCAGCAGTAGGAAGGGCGGGCCCTAAGTGGGCGGAGCCAGAGGTGCCAACACGGTGGGCGGGGTCTGAAGAGGGGCGGGTTCCAGACAGTGGGCGCAGCCCAGGGTTGGGCAGGGCCAAGGAAACGGGCAGGCTCAGAGAGGGGCGGGGCCAGTAGTACGCAAGGTCGGGTGGGGTGGGGTCAGTAGCGGAGCCCAGAAGTGGGCGGTGTCAAGACAGTGGGCGAGGTCTGGAGAGGGGCGGGGCCCAGAAAGTGGGCGGGGCCAGAGGCGGGCGGGGCCAAGACAGGGGCGGGGTCCAGAGGGCCGGGGCCGGGGCAGGCATGACGCAAGCCCCAGAGGGGCGTTGCCACTCACCATCTGGGCAGAAGCAGCCGTCCACACAGTGGTCCTCGCAGAGCTGGGCACGCTCGGGGTTGGAGCAGGTGTCGGCGCAGGGCGAGCCGCACTCGAGGTGCTGCATGCCGAGGGGGCAGGTGGCGGCTGCGGGAGGGAGAAGATTTGGCCTGGACCACCGTTCCACACTGCCCCGGTCTGTTCCTCCCCCCAGGCCCCAGGCCCCTGCTGTCCCTTCGCTCTCTGGCACACCCGGCCCCCAGCCAGATCCCTGTGTCCAGGCCAGAGCCCCCGTCCCAGGGTCCCGGAGGAGTACGGGCACTCACGACAGAGGTCCGGGCGCCTCCAGTTCTGGGGCTGGCCCCCGGCGTGGGCACACTGGCGGGAGTACTCGGCAAAGGTGGCGCAAGGGCAGGTGGGACAGCGGCACAGGTCCTGGGTGCAGGCGGCCACGTAGGCCTCAGGGTCCACCAGTGCGTGGCACGGGCTGAAGGCGGCGCCGAGCAAGGTGCGGCGGCAGATGTCCTCCTGGGGGGCACACGGCTGCTCAGTCCCAGAGAGGGCACCCCGCCCGCAGTTCTGGCCCACTGGGAAGTGGCCGCTGGGCGCCTCAGCTGGGGACACGGTCGCCCCCAGCGTGAGCTGTGGAGGAGGGCAGCTGCGAGGGGCAGAGACGGCCCCTGCCTCTGTCCCCAGCCCACTGCCGTCTGCCCTCGACCATGTCATTTCAAAGCCATGAGCTCCTTGGTTTCAGGGGGTCCCGGCCTGCAGGCCCAGTGGAGCTGTGTGTGCATGTGCTGCACCCTCAAGGGACACACGTGTGCACTGTCTACACACTTAAGACATGCGTGTAGAGGAGCAAAGTGTGGGGGGTCACAGCAGGGAGAACAGGGGGTCGGGGAGAGAACCTGTGTGAGTCCCTGCCTTGAAGGCCCAGCCAAGGAAACTGAGCCCCACTCCCAGCTGCCCCTGTGGCCACAGTGGGGTCCAGAGCGGGGCCTGGGCTGGGCGGGCCTGGGCACTCGCCTCGTCTGTGCAGTTGTCGGCTGCTGAGGGCAGGGGGTCCTGGCACTGCTCTGTGGGCCCATCCATCTTCTGCAGGTTCCCGAACTGTAGGGGTGTCAGTCTGGCGTCTGTGGAGAGAAGACCCTCCCGGGTCGCTGAGAGGCCCTGAAGCAGGGTGCGGTGCTTGAGGGACCCCACCCAGGCCCAGGATCTTTGACACCGTTTGGATGGCATTGCCGACTGGATGCTGCCCCCACCGTCTTGCTTCCTGCTCGAAGCTGGGGGCCCTACCCCACCCACACTCCTCCCCGCCCCTGATGGTCCAGCTGAGCCAGGGGCCCCACTCACTGTGGGCGTAGAACTCAGACGCCGCCGGGAGCCCGTTGAAGTCTCCGCATAAGCCGCATGTCTGGTTGATATACTTGGGATCCAGCTCCAGCTGGGGGCGGGAAGGGGTCAGCCTCTCAGTGCCCCAGCTGGGGGCAACCTCCCCAGGGCACCATCCCTGGAGGGGCGCACTCCAGCAGGGGAACGGAGGGGCCAGCCTCTGCAGTGGGTGTGGGGGTGCCCCAGCGTGGGAATCCTCACCAGGGCGCTGTCCCCGCCGTTCCACATGAAAGTCAGCACCAGCCGGACGCTGACCTTGATGTAGCTGCTGCTCTTCTCCACCAGGAGGCCGGCACGGGCGAAGGGCAGCTTCACCCTGGGTAGAGGATCTCAGTTCTCCCTCTGCAGGGCCGGGAGGGCCGCGCCTGCCCCGGGCCCTGGCCGCCTGCTCACCGCTGCCCATCCACGAGCACGGAGCCGTTGGAGGCCTCCAGCACCAGCCCCTGGCTCCTGAGGACCACGCGGGTGATGGTGGGCCTGGAGTTGGCCATGCCGCGCCGCAGCTGCACGTTGAAGTCCTCGTAGGCGCCGCCGCAGTGCGCAGACAGGACGTAGTTGCAGAGCCCGGGGAAGCGGAAGACGGCGCCGTCGAAGGTCTTGTAGTGGAAGTCGCCCCACGTGCTGCACACCCGGCCGTTGTGCGCGGGGTTCGGGGCTGTGGGGATGTGAGGAGGCGCCCGTCAGGCAGCACAGTCTCCTGCTCTGCCCCACCAGCTGCCCAGAGACCCCAAGACCCCGAGACCCCAGCGTCAGAGCCCGGGTCTGTGCTCCCCAGCCCCCAGAGTGGCACCCACTTACGGCTGATGGTGGGGAAAAGGATGGCAGGGGGGATGAAGTTCAGCTGCTGGGCTGCAAAGGACAGGCAAGTCACACGCCAGCACCTTGTCTCGGGCCACCCCAGGGCCCCGATTCAGCCCAGGTTGCTCCCGGAACAGTGACCTCTCCTGGACCCTCCTGCCTGCCCCAGACGCTCCTTTTTTTTTTTTTTTTTTTGCTTTTTTGGGTCACACCCGGAGATGCACAGGGGTTACTCCTGGCTCTGCACTCAGGAGTTACGCCTGGCGGTGCTCAGGGGACCCTATGGGATGCTGTGGCTTGAACCCGGGTTGGCCGTGTGCAAGGCAAATGCCCTCCCTGATGCACTATCACTCCAGCCCCTGCCCCAGACACTCCTGCTCTCGGCTTTCCAGACATGTGCCACTGAGCATGCACATGAGTGTATGTGAGGAAGTGGAGTGTGCACATGTGTGTGGAGGTGTGAAGGGAGTGCGTGTGCATGAGGTGTGAAGTCTACAGGAGGATGTGTGCATGGAGAGGTGTGAGAGGAGTTGTGAGTGTGGGTGTGCGCCTGAGGAGGTGTGAGTGGGTGTTATATGGGTGGGAGAGGAGGTGTGACCAGGCATGCACGGGTATGAGGAGGTGTGAGTAGCTGTGTGTGAGGTGTGGGTGTGTGAGAAGGTGTGAGCGAGTGTGTGAGGAGGTGTGGGTGCATGTGAGGAGGTGTGAGTGGGTGTCTGTGAGGTGTCGGTGTGTGTGAGGTGTGAGTGGGTGTGTCAGGCGGTGTGAGTGTGTGAGGAGGTGTGGGGGTGTATGAGGTGTGGGTGGGTGTGTGAGTTGTGAGCATGTGTGAGGAGTGAGGGGGTGCAGTGCGCAGGTGTGAGCAGGTGTGTGGGAGTGTTGGACTCTGGTTCAAACCTAAATTCTCTCCGTGCACCACCCCACCCTCACCCTCCTCTGCCCTTTTGTGGCCAGGGGACCCCAGGAGGGTCTCTGTGACATGTGGGTGGTTTGGGAGCCCCCTGCCCTTACTGCAGTCCACGACTGCCCCCAACCCCAGCGTACCAAAGTCCATCCTCTGAGGGTCCACAGAGGCCTGTGAGCCCGCCCAGCTGGGCTGTGCTTCCTGCTGGGTATCTGTGGAGAGGGAGGGAAGGGGGAGTTCTGAGCAGCTCTGGGCGGCACCTCTGCGGGCTGCATGAGAGGCAGGGGTCATGTGGACAGGCCCTGTCCCCATGGGCAGATGATGAAATCAGGAAGGTTCCGGCAGGGCACTGTGCCAGTGGCCTGGCGCTGACCCCTGCCGTCCGTGTCCCCGGGACAGGGCCACTGGGCGATCTGCGGGGCGTGGAGTCAGGAACAGGCATTGGCACCGCTGCCCCTGACCTTAGGTGAGGCCTGACCGTCCGCGCGTCCCTCGGCCAAGGACAAAGACACGCTTTGTTGGGGACACGGACATGCGCAGGGAGGCTTTCGGACACGAGTCAGCAGAAAGCCAGGCCGGGCCAGCTCCTCAGCAGGACCATCACTGGGCAGGAGGGCGGGCGGGAGGCGGTGAAGGCTGGGCCAGGCCCTGCCAGCTTGCCGGGGCCGGTGCTGGTGTGTCTGTCCCCCTCTGTGTCCCATTGGGGCTGGGGGCTTCTGCCCCTTCCTGCCACCCCACTCAGAAGCCACAGCACCCACCTGCAACAAACCCCTCACCGGCCACGCAGGCCACTCCCTCTGGACCCCTGTTCCAGCAGCTCCCTGCAACGTGGCAGCAGGGAGCCCTCGGGGAAAGGCCTTGCCTGGTGGGCACACCCAGGACCCACCCCCTACCGGGGGCTCCCCTCACTCCTGAAAACACACCCGGAGAAGGGGCACCCGTTCTGGGACAGGGAGGATACCAGTCCTTGTGGAAACCAAACCCGAGCCTCAGTGGGCAGGTGGGCAGGTGGACAGGTGGACAGGTGGGTAGGTAGGTAGGTGGGCGTTTGGTGGGGTTCAGCTTCCAGGACACCCCCACAATAGCTGGAGGAAGACCCTCCCACCCCTCACTCCTAGATAGTGGGCGTGGGGCCCTGTCAGACCCCTCTCCTGAACAGAGTCCCACCCCTGACCCTGAGTCTCGGCACCCTCCCTGCTGAGGCCCCGGGAGATAGACTGGGCAGGGCTATAGCCACTGGCCATCGCGGTCCCATCTCCCTGGAGGAATCCGGTCCCTCAGCGGGTCTTAAGGGGCAGAGGGAGGAGCCGTGCAGGGACCACGGGGGCCTTGGCCAGAGCCCCCGTCCCAACCCTGAACCTCGTCCTCTCCGTGGTGTCCGGAGGGACCCGGCTGCAGAGACTGAGGCCCTGGAAATGTCCCCGGGAGTGCGTCCCCTTCCCAGCAGGAACCTGCGGTGGTCTTCACCGCACCCCTGCACGCAGAATCTTCAGCCTTACCTGCCTTCGGCACCAAGAGCAGGACCCAGAGGGCCCAGGGCAGCGCCCAGTGCCTGGTGCCCATGCTGGGGGCCTGCAGTGGGTCTGGGGAGTGCGGCTTGGCGCTCGCTGGCCTGGGGGCCCTGGGGCTTATGTAGCAGGAAGTCTTGGCCCAGAGCCCAGCTGGCACTCGGGGCGCTGCCCGCTCCCCCCACTTGCCACGTATGTTTGCTCTCAGGAGGAAGGACCAGTGTGGAACCCCACCCCGCCTGCCCCGTCGGGGAGGGGTCAGCCTGCCCTGAGGCTGCTGCTGGGCTGAAGGTGGCCCTGGGGAGTGGCCAGGGGACCCTGATCCCCGGGAGAAAGGCGTGGTCACCTCCCCTCCAGGACCATCACGCAGCCTGGCAGTGGGGGTCGGAGGTGGCAGGGCTGGCCCGTGATGGGGATGCCTGGGGGGGGTCTCACCCCCAGAAGCCCCAGGTAGGAGCTGTAGCGTCCCACCGGATGCAGCCCCTTACCAGGCTTCGGCCCCCAGCACTGCCCAGCCCCACATCCGTGGGCCCCTGTGTGGGACCATCGGCCCAGCCAGGGTTGCCAGGCCTCCTGCACAATGGCTAGGGAGCCCCCAAAGGCCCACGTCCCTGTCTGGGGTCATGTGGCCTCATGCCCCACTGCTTTCAGCCCCCATCCCTGCTCCATGCCTGAGCCTGGGGGTCCCCACTGACCTTGTGGATGGATAATCCTGCTGACCACCCAGTGGGGTCCCCACTGACCATGAAGGTGGGGCCCCCTGCTGACCGCCCAGTGGGGCCCTCACTGACAATGAAGGTGGTGTTCCCTGCTGACCGCCCAGTGGGGTCCCCACTGACCATGAAGGTGGGACCCCCTGCTGACCGCCCAGTGGGGCCCCCACTGACTATGAAGGTGGGGTCCCCTGCTGACTGCCCACTGGGGTCCACACTGACTGCCCAATGGGGTCCCCACTGATCATCCAGGTAGGGCCCCCTGCTGACCGCCCAGTGGGGTCCCCACTGACCACGAAGGTGGGGTCCCCTGCTGACCACCCAGTGGGGTCCCCACTGACCATGAAGGTGGGGTCCCCTGCTGACTGCCCAGTGGGGTCCACACTGACTGCCCAATGGGGTCCCCACTGATCATCCAGGTAGGGCCCCCTGCTGACCGCCCAGTGGGGTCCCCACTGACCATGAAGGTGGGGCCCCCTGCTGACCACCCAGTGGGGTCCCCACTGACCATGAAGGTGGGGCCCCCTGCTGACCACCCAGTGGGGTCCCCACTGACCATGAAGGTGGGGCCCCTTGCTGACCACCCAGTGGGGTCCCCACTGACCATGTAGGTGGGGTCCCCTGCTGACCGCCCATTGGGGTCCACACTGACTGCCCAATGGGTTCCCCATTGATCATCTAGGTAGGGCCCCCTGCTGACCGCCCAGTGGGGTCCACACTGACCATGATGGTGGGGTCCCCTGCTGACCACCCAGTGGGGTCCCCACTGACCATGAAGGTGGGGCCCCCCTGCTGACCGCCCAGTGGGGTCCCCACTGACCATGAAGGTGGGCCCCCTGCTGACCTCCCAGCGGGGCCCCCACTGGCTACATTGTGTTACCTGTCTCTGCTGAGAAAGGGCAGGGCTGGGTGTGGGGTGCAGTAAGGGGCTCGGGGGCTCAGGTAAAGGGTTTGGGGCTCAGGTAAGGGACTCAGGTAAGGAGTTCGAGGCAGCTGGGGGGCCTGGGGGTCAAGTAAGGAGCTCAGCGCAGGGCCGTGCTCTGCCAGGACGCAGTGCAGCGGTGCCTCCCTGGCAGGGGGTGCGGGGCACCCACCTGGGCCCCGGTGGGGCTCTGGCCGCCCCACCCCCGGCACAGTGGGGGCGGAGCGGCTGGGGTCCTGGGGCTGGCGGGCGCAGGATTGAGACATCCCGGATGCGGCAGCCGCGGGAGCTGAGCCTGTTTGCGCTGCCCGTTTACATCTTCACACTTGAGGGAGCCGAGAACAGATGCTGCGGAAGGCCCGGCCCTGCCGGGAAGGGGCCGAGCCAGCGGCCTCCCGCGGCTCCCGGGACAGTGCCAGGAACTGTCCTGGCCGGGGCCTGGGCAGGAGGGGCAGAGGCCACGGGATGGGAAGGCCGGGGCTGGGACCCACATCGCAGCCCCGTGCTCACCGAGGTTCCCGCATGCTGCTCGCAGCCCCTCCCGCAGGTGCTGGGGCGTGGGGTGGGGTCCTCTGGTCTGCTGACACAGCGCGTCTCCCCTGCCCCCTCGGGTCCTCGGGGGTCCCGTGTCTCTCCTGTCCCCACACGCAGCCCCCTGTGTGGGTTCTCTTGCTGCCGGAGCTTCGGGGTCTCACCAAGGAATCACCGACACTGCTCGGGGCTCCTTATTTGCACCTCCCCTCAGCCCTCGCTTCCGGACCTTTGACCTAACTGAGCTCATTTTCAGTCAGCTTAGGGGTGGGGTCCAAATCCCTCTTTGAGATAGGTACCCCATTTCCAAAGCCCTCTTTGTGGCAAAGGCGGTTCCTCCCCCCTCACCAGCCTGAAGCCCAGCTGCTCCTAGATCGCGCCCCTCCATCCCGCCAGCCCACCCTTTTTTTTTAATTTTTATTAGTGAGACATCATGAGGTACAGTTGCAAACTTAGAAATTGTTGTGCTTGGGTTTCAGTTATACAATGATCGAGTACCCATCCC